AAAAGGCAAACTTCTATTTATTCGTGGCATCACAAAGAGAGCTGAGAGCCGGGGCAAAGCAAGTAATTGAAACTGGTTGAGAGGTTTCGTTCTCTTTAACTTCGACCTCCTCTCTATGTCTCTTCGCTCAATCCGCTCATCGACGAGGACAATTTATCGCTCCGTTTGCTCATATTTCCGATTCCATTATATTATGCATGTATAGTGAGTAGATAGCCAGTCGCAGGTCCCCATCTGAACTAATAAAGGCGAAACCGTATATCCGTACCTACTAAAGTACTTATTCGGTTTCATTAAATGATATAATCGTCCTCGAAAAGTCAAGAAGGAGACGCAGGATGGGTCGGATGAAGCGAGGAAATGTGCCGGAGGTACCTCATCGTTGCGTAAATATGCCGGTCGTTTTGAGAAGCAGCAATCAACATGAACTCTATTTAGTCTCTTAAAAGAGATTAGAGAGAAAAACCAATTAACTTTCTGAATACAGATAAAGTTGCTGCAAACATTACCTACTTGTCCGTCTCTCTCCATTTTTGGAGATGTTCTCGTTCGTCGGCCTGTGTTCGCTTCTATCCGAAAAGCATAGTAACAATCCATCATGTAAGCAGATAAATGTGGGGCAGCTATTCGTCTACCGCCTGTATCTACCTCTCTCGACGTCCTCTTCCTCAATTCAACTCGAAATTTATGTAAACTCACAATTGTTGGGTAACCATTTGAATTATTCAAGGGACAAAAGGTGGTACGGCGTCCCTATAATAACCGACAAGCAACCCCTCGACGTTCTCGATAGTGAGATTCAGTAATAAGGAAGTGTATGGACACCTGTCACAGGTTCTTGTTCTTGTACACCTGCACCCTTCTTCTAATCCCAAATTTCTGCCACGTCTTTTGTACAACGGGGTAAATATTTGAACGTTGCTGATCAATTTCACCCTGTCTAACGGTGATTAAGGATTACGAAACACGAAGCAAACCCTTCTCGGATGGATCTAAATAGTCGCAGCTCCGAAAAATATTGTGTGCGATCGGGCACACGTGTGCGTGAACGGCTTATCGATTCGCCGACTAGCCGCAGGCGCCTCTCTTCAAGTGCGCCGTATTTGTAAATGTGTGTGTCATACCTGCGTTCTGGGGAAGCAGTTAAACAGTTCAAAGAAATAATAAACTATCCGGATGTTTCCAGAAGGTTCCCGAAAGTAAACAAAAGAGTATTTAAAGGAAGAGACGATCGCCGAGTAGGAGAAGAAATAAATTGACCGTTGCAGAAGTGAATACCGATATATCAACAGTAGTGTAAATAAATAAAATAATTCATAACCAAAGTTTAGTAATAATTTATTAGTGTTTTTAAGTTCTTTAACAATTAGTGTAAATAAATAGTTTTTGTCGTTATCAGTCTTAGAAGTTAATTTTGTTAATTCTTTAATTTTGTAAATTCTTCCCCGTATTAGTCAATTACATGAAAAAATAAATTTAGGGGTAATATAAGTGACTTGACGCTGATGAAACAAGTATTACATGTGTACATAGATCCACTTTACAGTATTCATAACGAGCTTGGTGGAAAAGTGTACACCGGCAACACTTTCTGTAACAGGTACGTAGTTTTGACGTAATTAACGGGACATAAACAATAGCCGTGTGCACCCCAGGGGGTGCGAGAAGAGCGTGGGAGGCGGGGGCGCGGCTGTGGGCGAGGACGACGAAGCCGTAAAAATACTTTGTAGTTCCAGTTAATTAAAGCTCAAAACTTGCTCATGAGTTACGAAACGAGGGCACCGCGTTTCGCATTTAAAAAACTTTCGTCTTCACGAAAGCAACCCCAAACTGCTTCAGAAATAAAAATTAAAACGGGACATACATACAAATCTCCCAATAAAACTTTTTTTCACAAAGTTTCGCTATGTTTCATCGATTTTACATTTCCCTGATTAAGTCTCTGTCGACATCATCATTTCGAAATTCTACTTATTGTTATATAGTTATCCCAATAAATCAACAGTTCGAGTCGAATGGTTTCGGGAAAGAAAAAAGGGGAGAGAAAAAAAAAACATCCGCAGCGCTGTATGTATATATTATGCATAGATAACTGGCACATAGTTCATAAATTGGGAAAAACGGTTCAACAACTTTTCACGCTACCCTATTGAGAGTAAACCAGAAAAGTTTATCATCCCTGATACTAAAATAATGAAGTTTTGTGAATATTAATTAGAATACAAAATTATAACAACAGCTAATACGTATTTTAAGCATTTTTAAAGAACTATACTTCGTTTACTTTCTTTAGCAATGTGCCCTTTCCAATGTGTTGGACGCGCGCTAGCAAAATCGCAGGTAGGGAGAAAAAAGCTCGTTATACTCTCGACTCTTGTTCATACAGTACCTGCTAAAAGTTTTGTTCAATCATGAATAGTAGTGCGAGTCGAAAACAAGCGTTAAAGCCTTTAATATGTCTTCAAATATAAATAAACATCTCGTTGATATTTTCAGTAGTAAATGGTACCAATAACAGCACATTTGAGCAATACAACTTTAGTGGATAATGGTCAATTTTTTCGTGCAGTACTGTACGGATTGTACGCTCCTCACCGGTTAAGAGTTTGGCCGAGAGTTATCTCCTTTCTTTTCTGGCCTAGTGCTGTTCTTTTCTATTTTGCGCCGGTCAAACTAAAGGTCACATCGCTAGAGAAACTAAACGAAGTATAGTTTCTCTCCCAATAAGATGTAAGTAACAATTTTCATGAATATACAAACTCTGTTGCTTTATAAGCACCCGAGGCTTGGTTTATAAATATTTGAAAGGAGCAGACCTCAGAGCTCGTTCGTTAATTGTAGCAGAAACCTGCTGGATTTCTCGTAAAAGGGCCTGCGCTTCAATGGGCCGTTGTGGCGGCGTTTGTGGCGGTGGTGCGCGGAATTATTAGTTCGCAATGTGTTTCGGAGGTGAATAAAGACGTGGAATCGCACCAGCTAGCAAACTCATGAAATGGAAATGAGAAGTACGAGCAGCACGGGTAATAAACAGCGAAAGAGGGTCTGCTTTCCCGATTGCTCTTTTCACAAATTTTACACTCTCGCCACACGCCCTCAGCATACTTAACCCCTTTTAAGCCAAATTGAAAAATTAGTTTTACTCCAGCGTTGCTCACTATGCATTTATGTCATCATTAGATTTATGTATATGTCGTATACATATCTTTCTATCTATCTCGTCACCTGTCAGCGACAACACAAAAAATTTATTTACCCCAGGGAAAATAAATTCAATAAAAACTTTCATTTATTCCTAATACATTAGACTGTATACGATATCGAAAATACGAATAAATAATCCAAACTAATCATCATCATCATAAGGTCATCAGTCCTAAGACTGGTTGGACAGATACCTCCACTCTTTCCTATCCTGAGCTAAACTTCGCATTTCCCTAAAACTAGAACAGCCCACATCCTTAACTATTTGCGAACAGTAATGTGATCTAGGTCTACCTCTACCCCTCCTAACTCCTGTTTCTGCCTCTAATGTGTCTCTGACTAAACCTTCATGCCTGAGAAGGTGTCCTACCAACCTATCTCGCCTATTTCTTATTGACTTCCATAGGGCCGTCTGTTTCCATTTTATTTAAGGCTATCCGTAGACGCTAAAATACTCCTTAGACAAAATTTTTCAGTCTCTCTCCAGTCTCTCAGAGTCTTTCAGCGTCTCTCACAGTCTCTCAGTTATTGCCTAGGGGTTTTTATGGATCTCTCATAGTCTCTGTATGAGAGACTCGAACGATAAAATTGTTAATTCAGTGATTCGAGTCTCTCGTTCAGAGACTGAATACGAAATGAGGATCTCTCTATGAGAGACTCGAGTCTCTCGTTCAGAGACGCTAAATATTTTTTTTGACAGTCTCTCTCAGCGACACCAGAGAGACTCGATGAGAGACGGAGACTCGAGTCTCGCTTTTATAGCTATATCATCTACAAATCTAAACATGCTAATCTTTTGCCCCTGTACCTATATCTAAGCCTATCCTTTTATGGTGTTTATTTTTATTGAGCCCCCACAGGAAGCTACGTCCCTGTTTTTCCAGGATATAGTTTTTGTCAGTATCCTTGTTTTCTCGCTAGTATTTTTACCTTTTGCAGTTTTTCATTCAGTTTAATCGCTCTTCTTTAATTATTCGTAGTGTTGCTACCAGGCTACTACTTTATCTATCTATTCACTGCATTGTTGTTCTGTTTTCATTGCATTCCTCGTTCCTTAAGCATCTAAAGTACGTATTTGTATCTACGAAAAGTTGTTGTTTTCTTCCCTTTTGCGTTTTAGTTGTTGATCTCTTACTTCGTAGAAAAATGACAAGTTTAGTTTACTTCTGAACAAGCCAGTTTTAAAACAGTTTCTTGAGAGAAACTTCGTTTTATTCGAAACTAAAGGTTTACCTCGAGACCAGGTGTTTTATGCGATAACTCCAGTTTATCATATTATCGTGTCATACGTACTTATATTGTTTTTCTTTTGTGCGAATACTTACATAAGGATCTGTAGCTGTTTTAGAAGTGTACATGACTGAAATTGACAATCCGTTCAACTTTTACTGTTAGCTAATCCGAAGTTATAATACCTAGTTGAAACTCAAAGCTCGGTTACAGAGATGAGATAGATTTTAATGACGTCAATTACCAAATTACCAAAGTTACTTAAGTCTTGAAGTATCACAGTCTTAATCCTCAGGCACTAAGCTTCCACTTATCTTACGTTAATTAAATCAAGAAGGAAATGTAGATATGTTCCGCGAAAGATACTTGCGCAAGTATCAACGTATATGTAGATCTACGTTGGACAAACACCGCATCAGCTTTCGAGTAGATAGAAAGAACATTAACAGTCCCGAGTTTGGTCGCTTTGATTAAGAAAATTTTACCTTTTCATATTGTTATCATCTAATGAAGATGCTCGCATGACATTTTTTGCTACCTGTTTCAACAACAATCTCCCTTCTTTCCAGATATGGATTATTGGTACGAACAGGCAAGAATTGCTTTGAGGCGCAGATTACAATATGCGACTGAAGATGAGCGAAAGCCGCATGCGAAAAACGTTATACTGTTCGTGGGTGACGGAATGGGTGTTGCCACTATTACTGCAGCCCGTATTCTTCGTGGACAGCGTTTGGGTAAAAGCGGGGAAGAACACGAGCTAGTATGGGACTCCTTCCCAGCGGTGGCGTTGGCAAAGGTAAATTTTTAGTCACTTTTTAAAAGTTAAAATAAAAAATCTGTTCCGTTATCTGTTAAAGAGAGTTTAGACTTTAACTTTTTTGTTCACTTTCGGAAAAGTTTGGAAGTTATTTTCATTAAGGTGCGCTTTTCCTATGTTCTCGCAATGTGCTAACGTCGTAATTTTTCCTGTTATCTAGCCGTTTTACCGGCTGGCTAACAGGCAATGCCCGTCGGTTAGACGGGAATATTTTAATTAAAAGCTTGTTTATTAAAGCCGAATTTGCACCGAACGAACCCAGCTAAATTGATTTTTATGTTTACTTTTCCTTCTTGGGAAGACTCGTATCTTTCCATCTTAAAAAAAATTTTAACGACATATCTGGACAATTAGCTGTTACACAGTCACAATCTTTAACGGTATATTTTCCCTGGAGTGCTATTACTAACGTCTCCCATTCCAGTCGTCAGGTCTTAATGTTCGGGAATCGGCGTGACGGTTTTCGAATGGTTCTCTAGAATACAAATCGAGCAAAAAAGTTTGATTAAGTTCGAATCGGATGTGCGATAATTCGAAGTCGCTAGACACCGATCCCTTTCGGCAAAAAAGGCGCTGGGACGCTCCCGGATCGGTATTTGTTAAAAGTAAAGATTAGGACGTGGATGAGGGGTGATACCGAACACTAGAGGGTGGAATAGGGGAGCAGGAGGAACTAACGATTATGCCCTGCGAAGAGTCGGACGTATACTCTCTGTTTGTAACCCCGTTAAAAATATCCAGCGTCTGTAATTGCAGCAATATATATCTAAGAGGAATAAATGAGGTAGCAATTTTTCTAAAGATACGTGCTCGTCTCTGGTGCACTTTCATTTTTTATTCGCCACACTTGTTTCCCTAAAAAAATTGATAATAAATCCTTCGAGAAACGTTAGGATATAGGTAAAGGTAGGGTTAATCCTAAGTAATATTATAACTGTGAATGTGATTCTTTTTTTATTATAAATTCACGCCTTAATTACTTAATCAATAATTCTGAAATTTTGTACACATCTTGCCAGGGATGCGGAAAAGGACATGGGGTATCTTTTATCCAGAAAGTTCGCTTTAGTTTTGTGCGGTTATCGATGATGTTTGGCACGTATTTCGGATCTTTGAGATTACTCGATAATTCATAATGATATATTTTTTTACCCCTTTTTGAAACCAATCTTAAACTTGTTTACTATTAGTTCAATGAAAATCGGGGATCAGTTCAACCAAAAATTTTTGTCAGTTATTTCAATCTTAAGGGCGCGTGGTGCGGATGTTTGCTCAGTTGAAGGAAACCCTTGCGGCTCGTGGTACAAATCATTACGGCACGTTTTCCGTAATAGGCGCCGTTCGTTACCCACACAACCCCAAAAAAAAAAAACTTATCATTTCTTTTCTTTCATTCTATCCATTTACTAAATAGGTCTCTTAGCAACCCAACCTTCGGTGGTTTTAAATAAATGAAATTACGAGAGAGATTAATTTCGTTGACAATATTTAAATTGGTTTTCTGACGATGAGATGAATAAATTCAATTCTGTGTCGAGTAGAGAAGGAAACGGCGGTAATTTTATTTTCTCGAACGAAAAATTCGCATTTTTCGACGGACTTTGCGTTCTGAAAAAGGTCGGTCGCGTTGCTACAGCAGCTGCGGAATCAAAATTCCTTCGGAATAATAAAATATAATCCTGTCGTCGAGAACTAAGTCAACATGATGGGATGGCCGGACGACCGACGGAGCCATTTGACTAAATAAAACGAATGCCTAAGTAGTTACGTTTCTGTTTATCTACCATCAGCTATTGAACGTGAATCTCTCCCATTCCTGATATTGATAAATAGAGATACGCATGAGTTCGTCGTTCCAGTGGGTGGTGCTGTTTTTTAGCAGCGATACCGCAAAAATGTTTCCAATTTTTTTAAAGGTATTATGCAGGATTAAACAGGGCTACAGCGTTCACGTTACCATTAAATGTGTGTGTGTGTGTGTGTGTGTGTGAATACGTAGTTCTCGTTCTGCGTATTTTTAATATTCGCTGGTTGTTTCAACAGAAACCGCAAAGCCCCTGTCAGTTGATTAACTATCGATTTTTCGTAAAAATCAGTTCAAAAATAATTTGCAGAAAAGGAAACGCCAGAAACACAAAATCCTCACTCATACGATTCAGGAGCAAACCGCTCCACATAAATTGCTGATTTAAATATATCTAAATAATTTTCAAAAGTCTTTTGTGAAGAGACATACATGCACTTTATTTGTCCTTCCGAGGAGCTTTAGATTTGTGACCTCGCCAGTCTATGCCTGTCCCAAAAAGTTGTGATGTCACCAGTCTAAGCCTATGTCCCACAAGGTTGTGACCTTGCCAGTCTATGCGTATGTCTCACAAGATTTTGACTTTACCAGTCTATGCCTATGTCCCACAAGGTTGAGACTTCGCCGGTCTATGCCTACGTTTCGCAAGGTTGTGACTTCGCTAGTCAGTGCGTATGTCCCACAAGGTTGTGACCTTGCCAGTCTANCCAAGGATGGTACTATAGAATGTCACCTCAAGGTAGGCCTAGTGGCGTCATCTCTTGGTTAGGCCGGAAACTTATCAATCCACCCTCGTATGTTTTTAATACTTGATTTCGTTGACCTGTGTTATTACGTCGTTATTTTCGGACAGATTTTCTCTGGAAACAAATAATCTGATTTCATTTGTTCGAAATTCCCAGTTATTTGGAGGCATTTTATATCCCCATTGTCGGAGCAATAATAATTCTATATTTATTTTCGCTTTCGATTTCAATTCGGCCGGAGCGAAACGGAATTTCGGGTCGACGAATCGAAAATTTTAATTTCGGCCATTTAAAATCGTTCGGCGGTTCCAATTGAGGAGGATGAGGACGAAAAGTCGTATGGTGAAAGGAAATAAGGGATGGCAACAGCGACCTAAGTGGAGCAAGATATAAATCACTCGCATTTTCAAAAGCCAATAACTTATTTCGGAATCTCACGTGGCTCTCTTTACAACAAACGAAGAAAATTGAAATACGGCTTTACCAAATGGGCAGAAGAATCCAAATGAGGAGTCGCGGGAGACGCATGCGTTCGTAATACGCCTCTTCCGCCGAAAAATATGATAAATGGGAGCCAATCTTGCTAAGAGGCAAGCAAATAGCTTTGATTTATTTGCAAAGAAAAGATTAGCTCGGCGAAAAAAACGCGGAAGCTCCGAATCCGCATCTTTTTCTTAATACCGACCAAATACGCGACGATATGATGCAGCAGCGTAGCATTTAATCAAATTATTCGTTACTCGTGTTCGCTAATATTAATCGCCTTTTCTCCGCGAGGAATAAATTCTTCTTTTCTTTTCTTTTTTTATTTCGCTCTTGCCTTCCTTTCCATTAGCAGCGTTTTACGGTGATGATCCGTTAAAGTGAAAATGGTCCGTTGAAAAAGGAACCGGGTAATAAAACTAGTAAGTAGGACTAAAATTTTAGCCGGAGTATTGTCATCGTGAATGGTATCGCATGAGAAGTACTACATGTGTTTATACGTTGAGAAAAATATAAAAAATCGAAAAAGTTCCTACTAACTAATTGTATAGGAATGTTATGAATAAAATCATTGTTTAAAATAGTCCAATCGATGTACCGAACACGTACAGTCTTAAGACTGATTGGACGCCCACCTTCACTTTTCCTATCCTGAGCTAGTCTTCGCATATCCTTAAAACTATAAAAAAAATCAGTTGTCTGTAAAGTCGGTTTACTGACGATAGTTGAACGTGACAACGTCATAAGAAAATACTGATGGAATGGTTTCATTTTACAAAAGAAAATTTTAATTTTATTTGTTTGATGGATATATTGTATGGATATAGAGAAGGAGGTAAATGGAAATGTATTATTGTATAGCAGCTGTCCACGCGGACGCATCGCTCACTNGGAGGACGACTCGAAAATACCCCCCGCATCTCGCAAGTCCTGCAAGGATCTCGCCAGGCAGCTGATCGAAAACGACCCTGGCCGAAATATAAATGTAAGTTTTCGTACGACTTTATTCATCATTTTATTGTATTATCTAGTGATAAGCAGAGCAAGACTGAGACCAAAACTGTTCCACTGTTGGTATTGGTCTTGTATTTTCGCAAAATCAAGATGATTATCCAATTAGCTTACACAAAACTATAATCAACGTGTTGAAAGGTAGAAATATTATCAATTAGGATCGGTAAATTTACCATGACGAGCGAAATAAGCGAATGATTAATTTTAATTTTTCACCGACGGAATGCTTGCTATTAAAAAGCAAAACGGTGTGGCTTAATAAAGTGTGTGTTACAATGCCGTTACGGGATATAAACGAGTCAGAATAATGGCCTATTGGAAATGAATCATTGATTGCAGGATGCGATGTGTTTAAACAGAGACCCATTTCAGCGCTAATGTACCGGCTCGTTATCGGTCATTTCGGTGAAATTGTTAACTTTTTGATTGGATATATTTAGCGCGACAGGAATGGGACGGTTAATGTACAGCGAAAACCGATGATCGGTGTTTTAAACCGCGCCCGGAACACGACAACTGCCCATTTCCTTATTAATTACCCATTAGCGTTATACCGTCACGCGTGTTTCTGTGTATTATACATTCGTACAAAGATCCGTTTATACGGTTGTTATTGTTGTTGTTGTTGTTGTTTACGGCCGTTTGGACTTGATGCTTTCGTTCCGTCCATAAATGCGAGCGTCAATAATATTCGAGCAGGTGCTTCACCGAATTGAATCGAATTGCACATGAAATAACTACAACTTGTAGAGTGTATTTGAAATTTTCGGTATTCTTTACTAGATTTTAAGACTTAATATATTAAATAAGAAACTTTACTTCCCTTTTGTACAAATATTTTTAGCAGTGTTTTTTTTTTAACGAAAGCGTGGCCCTTTTACTTTGTTCAAACACGGCACTTTAATCCAAGGTATTTCATCGAATTTCTTTTGAAGCAAAAAAAGCGATTCTCGCACGTCGCCGCTGAAACACGTTTTGATATTTTTAAATTTTAATCGAAAAATCTTAGATTATCCTTTGAACAAAACAAAGTCAGGTAAACTTTTCATATACTCTCGCACACGTTATCTCGGGGGGGGGGGGGGGCGGTTCCGAGAAGATGACAGACGACACCACCAATGCGAATGTAGGTATTATATTAAAAGTGATGCCGTGTCGAAGCCCGGATTTATTTTCTGACGCAAGATCATTTTATCTGCTACTCCCAGATCCTCCTTTTCTCATACATAGCACACTCCGGTGACTTTTTCGGGGAAACATAATAACCACAAACATCCCAATAAGTTGTCGTCTAATAAAAAAGGGGCGATATCCACACGCTTATGAAATCGATCAAAATTGATAACAAAAGACAGCGATATTGTAGCGAGCACGAGCGTGTTTGTGTGCGATCGGGCACACGTGTGCGTGAACGGCTTATCGATTCGCCGACTGGTCGCGGGCGCCTGTGTGTGTCGTACCTGCGTTCTGGGAAAGCAGTTAAACAGTTCAAAGAAAAAATAAACTATCCGGATGTTTCTAGAAGGTTCCTGAAAGTAAACAAAAGAGTATTTAAAGAGAAATAAATTGACCGTTGCAGAAGTAAATCTGGAAATAAATTAACAGTGATAGCGTGAAATAAATAGCGCAGTGAATAGTGATATATCAACAGTATTGTAAATAAATAGAATAATTCATAACCTAAGTTTAGTAATAATTTAATAGTGTTTTTAAGTTCTTTAATAATTAATGTAAATAAATAGTTTCTGTCGTTATCAGTCTTAAAAGTTAATTTTGTTAAACACACAAACATTACAATATGATTGCTAAAACGCCCAGTGCGATAAGGAATTTTCTTCAAAAAGGGCTATATCAACAAGGAATAGGCGAAATAGGACATCTCCTCAGACATGAAGGGCTAGTTTCTAAATAATTAAGAGATGTACTTTTTGTAGACGGCTTGGGTATCCGGTACTTTTTTTTAGGATCTAGATATCCGAAGATATTTCTATTCCTTTTCCTTTTGTTTCAGACATATAACATGAATGCCCAAATTGGGGAATCGTCAGCGTGTGCTACAGCCCTAATGTGCGGTATCAAAACCAATTTTGAAACAGTCGGTTTGGATAGTAGGGGCCGTTTTGAGAATTGCGTGTCCAGTTTTTCGTCAAAGGTGCCTTCCCTCATCGATTGGGCTCAAGAAGCTGGTAAGTCGTTATCATTAATTATTTGCATTCCTTTGTACCTGTTCCTATTGCACATTTGTTATTGTTTCTCATCTAAGGGGGCAGCTTTTAATTAAAGAAAAGCAATTTTTATAACTCGCCACCTCGTTGAACGTAGCGTTTTATTATTTGTATTTTATTCCGTTTAAACGTTGAGGTTAATGATGCCCGTAAGGGTTGCCGGAACTAATTATATGAATATGCTGTTATTTTTTATCATCCACGAGTCGGAGGTGAATGTAACCCCTAATGCGCCATTACAGTTCTCAATTACCTCCAGCGAAATCTTACGTTTTAGTAAATTTTGAATGTAGCTCTCCCCGGTACGATGCGTATCCTGCCGCAGGCACTTAAATTATATTGGTAACATTGTAGAAAAAGCGTGAATATTTTTCTTGCTTGTAGGTATACCTATGTATAATAATAAACCGCCACGACCTCCTACGTTCTCGTCGTGGACACATTAAAAATGCATTAAAAACGTTGATGTAAAAGGTAATTCGTAATTCCGTTATGCAAATTTGTGATGAACTTCCTCATTCGTTGTTTTACATTCTTTTTTTTTTGCTTAAGTATGGCGTTTTTTTTGTTTTTGACGCAAATAAGAGACAAAAAAAAAAGAGTTTCGGGGCCAATAGGTGAACCTAGGCAACTCCAACAGACGACGGCCTTTAGAACCGAATCAGTTCAGCATCAGTTAAAGAAAGGTTAAGTTATTGTATAAGAGATCGCCATGATTGTAAGGTAATTTCCCTCTTTTTTTGTCGAAGTAAGAAGAGCGATATTTTAAAGGTAAGACAGGGTTGTTTTGTAACGCCGGTGTTAGCATTACCGAACATTAGTGGTGTGCGTAAGAATGGTGCGAAATATCACCCTCTTCCGTTGTGCGAAGTTTAGGTGGATCAATTACACAAAATTGCTTCGGTTTATTGTGAGAATATTAACGCGAATAAGACGCGTAATAAGTGTTTCAGCGAAGCAAGTTCGCCATCTAAAGAACTTCCTTCCCTTCGTTTCGCCGTAATAAGCTTAATCCCTTTGAAAACTTCTGTACCAATAAGAAAAGCCGGGGCAAGTGAAACGACGGTGTCTATTTATACGTTCGGTAGATAGTAGTTGTAAGTAGCTCCGGAGATTTGAATGGACAGATTTTTAATTAAACCGAAAGCTATCGAGGAAACGAACTCGAGCTTCCGACGTTTAGCTAAACGGTTACTCAATAAACCTTTTTTAAAAGATCATTCTTCAAAAAGAGTTTTAGAAAATGCGTCCAAAGGAGTATCTACTACACTGGAGATTCGTGTCAAAATTAGATTAATTTTATGATCTATATTGGGATCCGCCAAATGGGAGGAGCCTAAAAACATGGCGCCGATTAGGGAAAATTTGTCGTAGTTCCTATAGTGTACCGTGCAATTTCCAAGTTTTTAAATTACGATAAAATGATAAGTATTGACACAATGATGGTAAATACTTACTGAAATATAATCATGTGCATTAAAATGACGTGAAGAAATTTTTATTCCGGAATTCACTTCTTTGATACCTACTGCTTTCATCCAAGCTTCTATTAGTTTACTTTTTTCTCTAATTCTCCGAATATATTTTTTACATATATAAAACGGTTAGTTTTTATTGGAAAGTAGTTAATGTAGGTGAAGAGTGAAGATCTATGTCTGAAGTGCTATTGCAGCTTTTCACGGAACATATTAACTTTTTATTTGATTTAACTTTAGAAGAAAACTTCGTCGACTCCATCATCAAAAGAATTTTTACTTCTTTAACTAGTTTTATTATTTTAATAAACAATTTTACAATTTGCGTGCACAGTTCCTATATAAATTTTGCCACCAGATGGTGTATGCCCATTGACGGATCCCAATACTGGGAGAGTTTTTATATTGCTGTGAGCGAGTGCCTCGGGCAGGGGTCGATACGCGAATGACCGCGCCTTAGAAAGAATTTACGTAAAGTTTCTGTATCGACCTGCCTGTATAAATAAGGGCGTATAATCTCGTAGAAGACATTATACGACAATATTCGTTACATTTAAGATAAAAAGACGCTGAACGTTTTTTAATTAATAATGCTCGGATAATTGTTCGTTGATAGTTAATTAAGAATTTGTCCTATTCAGGGGTTAATAAGGAAGAAGTTTTCAGGTAAATCAACAGTCCGACGTTACTCGGTTGTAAGCAAGAGTTTTAACAGTTCAGAATTTCTCACGCCCCGGGCAATTTACCGCGTTAGCGCAGCTGAATAACTAATTTTCCATTTTCTTTTCGTACATTTCCCTTGTCTTGTACTAACGGAGACGAAAAACAATGGGCCGTTAAACTCGACGAAGATGGCGTCGGCCAGTGCGGCACATCGGCGCTACAAGAGGCTTGTTTAACAAATAAAACGTTAAACAACAGGGATCCGTTTTAATTACGGTCCGTACAGGAAATAATCACGGTATTTCATCGTTTATTAACTGAAAAGCCGAGCCATTAGGGCCAGTTTTGGGACCGGGGGATGGAAGGGACCAGCTACTACCACTGCTAAATTTTGCACGCCCATCGGGCCGCGTTAGGATCGTTTAATTTATGGTTCTAGTACGCCACTGTACGGCCTCGTCGGTTAATACGTTAAATTGTGAAGCCCTAATTTCGGAAAACCTCCAACATCCATCAACATGTAAAGCCAGACAGACACGTTCCCTTAGTGAAACGGCACTTTATTTATGTTTCATAATAAAATCGGCGCACTATGAAGTCACCTGATTGTATTTGTGACTCGAAATCCTTGTTGAAGCATACATTTGAAACTACAGTGGTGATAAATAATCACACTTGAGCTGCCTGTCGTCATAGTTATCACCATCATTATCAATGCCTTCATCATCGTCTTCGACACCACCATCGTCATCGTCAACCTCCTAGTCATCATAGTAAAGTCGTCAGTCTTAAGACTGGTTGGAGACGCCCCTCTACTTTTTCCTATTCTGGGCTAATCTAAAACTAGGACATCCCACATTCCTAAATACTATATTTGTGGACGGTAATCTAACCTAGATCTACCTCTACTTCCCTTAACTCCTGGTTCTGCTTCTAATCTGTTCGTTTCAAGAAGTCCCTTCCCTTTATTAGGATGTGCCGTAGCATAATTCCAAATTCAATCATATTTGTCTGCGGAGCTCATTTTTCCACCGATCATCGAGCGAGAACTAGACAACAGTGTACAGTACCGTTTGCAAAATTATTTAAACTGCCTCGTTAAAATTTAAGAATATGCTTTATTTAAAAGCATATTTAGCCAAAAATAATAACAAGAACTTAACGTTCTACACACCTATAAAACTTTTGCTTTGTTTTCTATTGTTAATTTATATACATTTTTGTTTTGAGAAATTGCTAAACATTTTCGTCTAGTACTGTACAGTTCTAGCCGATCTACTAAGACCGTCCATCGCGAGGTCTGCTCGTTCAAGCTTGTTCCAACTATATCTGTCTTGCTCACGCCTAGTGTGTATTCTTTCTATCTTCGCGCAAATTTCTTCAAGGTCACAATTCTAACAAATTGAAATAGACTGTGACTTCCTAGATATTCAAAATCAGCAACTTCCTCTAATTTTCGTCTCCTATCTTTATATTCACTATTTCCCTACTTTATCTTTCGTCGGTTACGGTATTGTCAATACCGCTTCTATTTCATCTAAGGCTTCTTCCTCTAACTGTATATCTTTCTATTGTTGATTTATCGATTTGCGTAAAATTTTCTGGAGATATTGAAGAACATTGTAAGAGTGTATAAATAAGGGCGCATTAGAAGACATTATTCGAAAATTTCGGATTTCTAAATTAAATGTGATTATAAAAATTTGATCGAAACTCAATCAAAATCAGTCTGGCGAACGTTTAGTAGAGTTAGTTGAGGTTAGAGCGACGTGGAAGTCGGTTTATTTGTACTCGGGAAATTCTGTCGATGATCGATTATTACAAATTGCAAAATTTTCCAGAGCCAAGCGAAATATAATATTATGCGAACTGATGTTCGAGACCGCAACTTGGATAATACATGTTCGAATGTATTTGAACGTGATCAGATTCGATACCGCATTAGCTCCCCTTTTTAACCCATACATTCTGTATCTCAATTCGATGATGTATCACCCGAAAATTTTCGAGTAACGAGACGTGAAATATAAATGAAGTTATTTTATCGTTGGTTTTTTTGTTTTTTATAATTTCAACTTCCAAGACAAAAACATCCATCGGTTTATTTAGAATTCATGGGTTTGCTCTTTTTGTTTATTATTCATAAACCAGGGGTCGTTGAAGAGAACTTCCCCGTTATTACTCGGCTTTTAAGTAATTTTTAGGACTTGAAATAAAATCGAATAAATAAAGACGTCGGCAAGGATCTTCCCATTTTTATTGCGTCTATATCTAGGGCTCGATATTGAATCAAGAATCAGAAATTAATTGATCAATTTTATTTCTCGTCTCGTAAAAAAATAAATTAAAAGTAATAAAGTTGGATTCAAACGAAACAAAATAAACTCGTAAACAACAGACCGTTTCGATTTAATTGCTATATAAAATATTGACGCTAATTCGATCGAAAATACAATCATCTATATTTCAAAACCATAACCATGCACTTATACATTCTATATATATATATATTTCCAATTTCTCTAATCCAATAGAAACGTTTACGATCTTGAGATCATACCTCTATCTAACAAAGTTTCCCGTTTCGTTCGGACAATATTTGCTCAACCAACTAACTCTCTGTTAATTTAATTAATTGAACCTTTTACTCGACGTACAACGGGAATCCGGATGTTTCTAATAAATAAATAAATTGCCCGTGGAACCTTTTCCTTTTCCTGTTCACTTCTTGTTTTATTTTTTCTTTGACGGTTTACGTCGTGTATCGCCATCCTGAAGGCGATTGGAAGTTATGTAGCGGCAAAGACATCAAACTACCCCATTACTCGGCTCATACTGTCCGTCTCAAACGTACTTAAACCGTCTTAATGGTTTTTAAAAGGGTTTTAACGTCACCTAAGTTTGTTTTATCATCCAAAACTTTCCGGCTTTATCACCTACACACAATTTACCTTTTTTAATTTTTGGAAACTGTGTTGTTTGCGTTTGAATTATTTGCAAGTGGCTATAATGCAACAAACTCTTCAAAATCGATAAATGATCAGTCTATAGATAGATAGATTTATAGGGGCAAAAGATTGGTTTATATTCTTAGATTTGCAGATGATATCTGTATTAGCAGTGTTAGCATCTGGTAAGGAGTTAGATAAAACTGAAGTGGTATTGATAAGACAATGTAAATGATTAGATCTGGATGAGATTATTGTTCGTTAAGAATTAAGGATGTGGAATGTTCTAGTTTTAGGAAAATGCTAAGATTAGCTCAGAATAGGGAAGAATGGAATTATCAGTCTTACAATTGAGGATCCTATGACGATGATGATGATGTTGACGATGACGATGACGATGATGTTGACGATGACGATGACGATGACGATGATGATGATGACGATGATAATGACGATTACGATAACGGTGACGTTAACGATGATGAAGACGTTAATGATGAAGAAGACGTTGATGATGAAGAAGACGTTGATGATGAAGAAAACGTTGTTGATGAAGAAGACGTTGATGATGAAGAAGACGTTGATGATGAAGAAGACGTTGATGATGAAGAAGACGTTGTTGATGAAGAAGACGTTGATGATGAAGAAGACGTTGATGATGAAGAAGACGTTGATGATGAAGAAGACGTTGTTGATGAAGAAGACGTTGATAATGAAGAAGACGTTGATAATGATGGTAATAACTGTGATGACAGACAGCTCATGCATGAAGACCTGCAACTGCAAGTAGACAACAGACGTTACGATCTGCAGCGCCTTAAAATCGATTCTGCAGTATATAATATTACTGTAACAAATTTGTCCGAGTTTGACCTTTCCCATTCCATAATTAATATTATGTCAAATTCAGAGTATGTAACGATATTCAGAAGAGAAGGCGTACGTGGGAGCCTTTTAATTTGAAAACATGTGTTTGAATGTTTCGGCCAGTCGACACAAAGTCTGTAGAAAGGTTAATCCAACAAATCACGAAGTGGTTTGTGTTTTAGTTTGGCGATAATGAATTGGACAGAGGACAGAGGCTCTATTTTCCGCCATGAAATTGTGAAACAAATGGGTGCATGCTAATCAGAAAGTTGCTGATACGTCGTCTAGGAGTTTAATTGAATGAAGTTCTAACCATAAATGTAATAACTTCATGATTATCCAAACTGTAGGCGTACATACATACATAAAAATAGTCCTTTAGTAGGTATCTTACGATTTAGAGTTTGCATTTGATCAGTATTTTGAAAGTTGTCACGTCTGTGATACTCAGCATTTGCGTCTCTTGTTCAACATCGTTCGTTTTCCACCGTTCCGGGTACTAAAAAGTCTCTCTTTACAAGTCGGTTCGATGGAGTGCGGTTTTTTCTTTACTTTTCCTTTTTTACATCTACTTTGTCCCTATCGAGCGACGAGCGGACACACGGACGGCGACGACATTATTGTCGAATGTTTGCCGACTGGATGTCCCTCTTCAAATCCAATTTGCTCATTCTTTGTTGGTTTCGGCTGCGATGCAGGCGCTCCAGAATATACCGAACGCTGCGACTGGATTTTTATTTATTTCCAACGATATTCAAACGAAAAATATTTTCCGGAAATCGCACTACCACGAACGTTTCGTGTCCAGCTCTTTCTCTATTTGTTTTATGCTTCATCGGCGTCGGCAAAATCAGATGTATTGGGATTTAAAATTTTCATGTTTCTGTTGACGTATGAATGTAAACGTAAACGTGGAGGTCCAATAATGAGTCTAAAGGATTTTACCATCGCCGGTTTCTAATCCATTGTTAATTTAATTCAAATTAATAATTAGAGTATTCAGAAATCTTTAATCCGCCACCCTGATACGTGATGGATTCAAACTGTTAAAGATATACTGCATTTTGACGATTATATGTATTCCCTACAAGAGACAATCAAGATGAACTCTTGATGATATATTTAAAACCATCTTGTACGAACATTTTTATGATTTCATTGAAAAATAAAACTGCTTGTATTGGTTCTTAAACCTTCGCCGAATTCTACCGCCTGCAATTTGTCATGCTTTTAGTAAAAGAACGGCTTCCAGTTTAGTAGCAGCTCGTTCTTAACGACAATAAGCTGTGATTATACATTGTTACAATAGGCAAAAATTGCATAAAATTTTAGACGTGGCACACGCCGACCTATTTATATCCGCACGCTCCGGTTCTATAGCCGTATTACGGTCGGTTGTCTAAAAGTTTTTCTGAAAGCAGGAATAAAATAATGATGATGATGATGATGATGATGATGATGGACTCTTTATTCTTCTTCTCTTCTGTCTATGTGTCGCGCTTTACGTTTTTCTTCCGTTTTTCATTTTTTTTCCGTGCGAGTCCTGGCTGGAATTCTTCCGGGCGGCGGAGTAGTTTAGGGAAGCGACGTCGTGCACCCGTGAAAGGGAACGAACGATGTCGGCGTCGCCGATGCGACGACTGCGTTGGGACGTCATTAATCACCCGTTTCGCGGCGTTTTATACCCTTGCGGTGCCGGTAATTATTTCGTCGGACAATGTGAAAAATGACGGCTGCCTTGCTCGAGGGTTAATTTATTTAAACTATAATTACGGGGTGAAGGCGTGCCGCGCTCTAAGCACGTAGAAATAACACGTATTCAACTCCAGCACAGCACGGTTGCCGCGTAAGCTCTCAGGTTTACCGTTTTTATTTTCTTTCTTTGCGAACAAAAGCACATATAATATAAAACAGTTTAAGCATATAAAATGCCTTCTAAATAAGTATACCTATCATCATCGTCACCATCATAAGGTCGTCTGTCTTAAGACTGGTCGGACACGCACCTCCAGTCTTAGGATTTAAGACGCCCACTTCCACTTTTTCCTATCCTGAGCTAATCTTCGCATTTCCCTAAAACCAGAAAAAAAAACTTTTGGGTGTTTCATTCCCACCAGTCAGTAATGCTGATGGGCGGGCAGTCCCTCCGGACTACGCCGGAAGGTAGGGCGGAAGGTCCTCTTCAGCCTGCATTCAGGAAACGTGGGAATGGGTGGGTGGTGGTTCGGGTGAGAAAGATGAGACGGACGAAATGAAGACAGAAAAGAATGAAAGATTATCTATGGAATATTACCGCCTCAGCATTTGCCTAAGTGGTCCAAGGAAACCACAGAAAAACTTGGACCAAGGCAGACGGACCCGGAATCGAACCGGCGTCCTCCCGAATGCCAAGCAATGGTCTAAACCTCTCGGCCATGCCGCTCGGTTTAAAACTAGAACAACCCACATCCTTAACTGTTTGCGAACAGTAATTTAGTCTAGATCTACCTCAACCCCTCCTAACTTCCGTTTCTGCCTCTAATATGTCTCTGACTAGACCTTCATGCCTGAGAAGGTGTCCTACCAACCTATCTCGCCTATTTCTTATTGACTTCCATAGAGTCCTCTGTTGTCCTATTCCTTCCAATACCTCTTCATTTCTAACCCTTTCTATCCACGATATCCTCATCATTCCAACACCACATTTCGAACGCTTCTAACCTTTTCTTTTCCACCGCGCCCACTGTCCGTGTTTCGCACCCGTACAGGGCCGCTCTCCAAACATACACCTTTAACAACCTTTTTCGAATTTCTAAATTAACAGTTCGCGAGCATAGAAATGACTTCTTTTTATCGAAGGCGAGACGACCCTGCGCAATCCCCTGCTTTATATCCCTACTACTCCTTCCGTTCTGGCTTATCTGACGTCTTACCTATTCTAGGTGAATAATATTATTTTCTTCCCTTAATGATGCCCTTCCTAACCGCTGCTGAATTCTACCCTTTACATCTGTCCACAACACCACCATAATGCTTTCAACTTTTTTACTTCCACGCCCCTCGGTTGCACGTTTCGCAGTCACGCTCCAGCACCCCAAATTTTCGACGTACTGCATGGAGATTATATTTTGTAGAATACTACACTCATTTTTTTTTTCCTGCTTAATATTCAGCAACAGTTTTTCGAAAACTGTTTTATGCCTGTAGACCTTTTTTTTTAACGAGATTTCTCCTTCGTTCCAGGTAAATCGACTGGAATTGTGACGAATACGAGGATTACGCACGCTACCCCTGCCGCTCTCTACGGCCACTCGCCCTCGCGCTATTGGGAGGACGACTCGAAAATACCCCCCGCATCTCGCAAGTCCTGCAAGGATCTCGCCAGGCAGCTGATCGAAAACGACCCTGGCCGAAATATAAATGTAAGTTTTCGTACGACTTTATTCATCATTTTATTGTATTATCTAGTGATAAGCAGAGCAAGACTGAGACCAAAACTGTTCCACTGTTGGTATTGGTCTTGTATTTTCGCAAAATCAAGATGATTATCCAATTAGCTTACACAAAACTATAATCAACGTGTTGAAAGGTAGAAATATTATCAATTAGGATCGGTAAATTTACCATGACGAGCGAAATAAGCGAATGATTAATTTTAATTTTTCACCGACGGAATGCTTGCTATTAAAAAGCAAAACGGTGTGGCTTAATAAAGTGTGTGTTACAATGCCGTTACGGGATATAAACGAGTCAGAATAATGGCCTATTGGAAATGAATCATTGATTGCAGGATGCGATGTGTTTAAACAGAGACCCATTTCAGCGCTAATGTACCGGCTCGTTATCGGTCATTTCGGTGAAATTGTTAACTTTTTGATTGGATATATTTAGCGCGACAGGAATGGGACGGTTAATGTACAGCGAAAACCGATGATCGGTGTTTTAAACCGCGCCCGGAACACGACAACTGCCCATTTCCTTATTAATTACCCATTAGCGTTATACCGTCACGCGTGTTTCTGTGTATTATACATTCGTACAAAGATCCGTTTATACGGTTGTTATTGTTGTTGTTGTTGTTGTTTACGGCCGTTTGGACTTGATGCTTTCGTTCCGTCCATAAATGCGAGCGTCAATAATATTCGAGCAGGTGCTTCACCGAATTGAATCGAATTGCACATGAAATAACTACAACTTGTAGAGTGTATTTGAAATTTTCGGTATTCTTTACTAGATTTTAAGACTTAATATATTAAATAAGAAACTTTACTACTGTTTATACTACAATAGAATGTCCTCAGAGGAAGTGTTTTTTGTTCCCATGTGTGGATAAAGCATACTTGAAATATAACGACAGTAGATAAGCAATGAGGGTTCCGGAACATTACCCCCTCCACTCCCACTCTGACGTCACGGCCCGATGGCAGCTGTCAAAACTAGCTGGTGGCCGAAAGAGGGTAAAATAGTGTAAAAGGTCGGAAAATACATGGTATTTTGGTCCATAACTGTCATTGCTTATCTACAAGCGACAAACTAATTTTTTTCGATACTTTTTACTTCTTTCAAGTACTTTGTACTATTTTGTTCACTAAAACGTCAATTTATGCGTTGGAGAAAGGGTCAATTTATGCATTAGTGGAGCGGTTGGGCAACTTTTTTAATATAATTTCATTTTTACCCCATTTGGGGTAATTTACCCCGGTTCCGACTGCTGCATTAGTGGAAGAGCAAGTTATCTACTGTAGTGCAACTGAATAGCTTTAATATTTTGATGCTTTTTCTGTTCTATTTGTAAATCTCGTGTTCTGTTGTCTCCGTCTACATGTGAAGTAAACATAAGATAAAATCCATATCGATATCGATGTAGATAGCGAGTGTCTATAGGTACACTCATTTTCCTTCCCTACGTCGTCTTTTCCCATCATGCAGATAATAAAGTTTTGACTTAATGTGTTCAATATTCCGCATGCATATGTGTATGCCACGTATGTAGTATATTGGCACACACTATCACATTTTCCATTAATGTATAGAAGTGCATGTCGCTTCTCTCCATCAGCAAAGAAATGCCAGATTGCTAAGTGCTTATCGATTTCAAAATAAAAAGGGTAAGAAATGACGTGCGTCAGATTTTGCAACAAAAGCAGTTAAAACTCGACTGAAACCTGTGAAATTACTAAAGGGATTAGTTTAGTAAACAACTTGTAACTTTATCGTCTTTAACGAGACGTGTGCTCTAAGGAAATTGAATCGCGAGTTAGGCTAAAGATTTTAACAGCCGTCTCTAGTCAAAGTTGGCGTCATTCGATGCAGTAAAACTGGCATATTTAATTAAATCGTCGGCGTTGACATGTTTGATAACTTTGAATTAATGAATTTCATTTTACCTCACACACAGAGAATGAGAGATATAATGAGGGACCGTCAAAGCTTCCTTTCCCGAATCTCATAAAGTTTCTTCCTGTTATCGTTTAAAGACAGGATGCGGAGATAATGAAATGAAACTACATAATTTTCTAAAGAAGTTTTAAATTATGGGATAACTTGAAAGGAAACGTTTTCACAGAGTGATACGTACGCATGTAGTTTAAGAAGTTATCAAACATTACATCTGTTTTGAAAGTTAACAAATCGCGAAAAACGCGAAATCATCCGGAAAATTTTGCTCTATTTTCGTCTCTTTAAACAGTTGTGCATAATAAACTTTATATAAACAAAACGCCGGAGGGTGCCAGCAACGTTTTTCACTCCGTAGTCGTTGGGATCGGGCGGCGGCCACGGACCTTTTAACAGTTGAAACAACTTGACAGAATAAGGCAAATGACAAAAACAAATATGAATAGACAACGATCGCTTGAAAGAAACTTGAAAACAATTAGGGGAATTAGTCGGAAAGTTTCTAAAAATAGATAGTTAAAAAGGAAAACAACAGAATAATTTAAAATAAAATTTGAAGGGCATACACTGGGAAAATGTTTAGGAAAACAATGAAATTTTGAGGAATACGTATTTAGTTTAGGTACTTAGAAGTTTTTCATTAGTCCTTACTGGTAGGTACTTGAACCTACAAATAAGGTAGTTGTGAAAACTGGATGATGAATGTTTATAAAACACTCTTAGGTACCTGCATTTTGATGTGCGGCTTGGCGGGAAACTTGAAAACGTTAAAAAACGTCACACGTATTTAATTAATGACTAAACTAATTGCGTCCTCTAGTCCATCAGTAAAAATCGAGAAGAATAAAGATAGACGTAAAGTGCTCCAATCCAAAAAGGATCCCAACGGTCTTTTTAAAATGCACGTTCATCAACTGATTTTGCATGATATATGTACGTCGATCACGCCATCCGTACGTACATGCATGTACTTGAGTTCGTCAGGCCTAATTGGGAGCTATGTACACGTAATGTTTAACAGGTGACGTCAGCGGATTTCGAATCGCATCCTTATAAAGGACGATGGTATGTATGTTAAATTAACACGGATATGTGACAGTTTAATCTTTAAATGAAAAGCAGAAAACGCGCAATTTTTGTCGAATTAAGTCCGGACTCATCATTTTTTTTTTGTTTAATCGTGTAGATGTATGGATGCATAAGACTATGGAAACAAAGCGGGATTATAGTCACGCTGCGCTCTGTCGAATTTTAGCATTTAATCCTCATTTCGGATCGGGTTTATGCAGAACTGCAACGAATGCGTTTTTAATGCTCGTACTTTTATCCGCTGCTGCCGTTGTCCTTATTCGTCCTCCGGTCGCACTTTTTATTTATTATTGGCGATTGCGACCGCGAAAAAGTGCCCCGTTCTTTATTGTTCGACGTATAAATCGCGCCATCGAAAACAGCTGCAATTTCTACGTTCGAACCACCGACAACTACGTTACGTCCTTTTTGGCGTCCTTCCAAATCGGCCAATCCGACGCCACCCACGACAACGTCTTTCTCGTCGTCTCTCGCTCTCTCTCAAACCGTCTTGTATATTATGTCGAACTGATATCGCGACAAATTCGTAAAACGAGCGAGAACAGAAGCAGAAGTTGCACTGCAAGGAGCATCAGTGATCCAATTTGTCCCGAACGCTTTAGGTCCATGACCTGAAACGTTTTTCATAACTTCATGGACTTCTACAAAGCCAAACGTAACTGTGAGGGACTCACTCCACACTACCCCTCTCCCATTTTTACCTCATCATCCAAACATATTATAGTATTCACGACGAAAACTCGCGGTCATTTTTACCCACGCTATTGTTAGAATGAAGATTCGTCAACGTCAGGACAGAATAGTTCACTTAGACCACGGCCCTATTGGTATCCGTCAAATGGGAGGAGCCTAAAAACATGGCGCCGATTAGGGAAAATTTATCGTAGTTCCTATAGTGTATCGTGCAATTTACAAGTTTTTAAATTACGATAAAATGATAAGTATTGACACAATATGTCATTGGGCTGACACAAAGCCTCGGAAAGGAAATTTCGTTGAAGGTGAGCGTGTTTTTAATGTCAATCACATTATAAAATTCGGAAATAACAAATCCGGAAGCTAGCCTTCAAATTCCGTCAAGTTTACTGCCTACTTTTTACAAACTTGGGATTTAAAAAGTGATTCACGTTACGTTATATAATTGGTGAGATGATTCTGGGTGATTTAAGCAATATCATATCAATGACTTGCACGTGCACAGCCGATTTAAGAGAACGTTGCAAACACATTATTGCAACTTTGTTGTATTGCAGCAGGTAGGTTCTTAACCTCAAGATACTTATATCGTATCATTAGAATTGTGTTAAATCAATTACACAGGAATAAATGATTCCTCACTTTATAATTTTAGTATGATTCTAGTTTTAAATATTAAGGTAATGGCTGATGGTGAATACTTGCTGAAATATAATCATGTGTATTAAAATGACGTGAACAAATTTTTATTCCGGAATTCACTTCTTTGATACCTACTGATACTGCTTTCATCCAAGCTTCTATTAGTTTACTTTTTTCTCTAATTTTCCGAATATATTTTTTACATATATAAAACGGTTAGTTTTTATTGGAAAGTAGTTAATGTAGGTGAAGAGCGAAGATCTATGTCTGAAGTGCTATTGCAGCTTTTCACTGAACATATTAACTTTTTGTTTGATTTAACTTTAGAAGAAAACTTCGTCGACTCCATCATCAAAAAAATTTTTACTTTTTTAACGTGTTTTATTATTTTAATAAACAATTTTACAATTTGCGTGCACAGTTCCTGTGTAAATTTTTCCCTCATTCGAGTTATAAATTTTGCCACCAGATGATGGTGTATGCCCATTTGACGGATCCCTATAGCCCGAATCTTCATTCTACTATGGATTCCGGCCGTGAAAGCCTTTGTTCTTATATTTTCGCTATTGCCATTGCCGTACTTTGAATTCGCTCCACCAAATTCTAAATGTGCCCAAGCGCAGAAATAAATTTCTGTTCTTAGAGTCGCTTCTATGTACGAATCTTATATTGTTTCGAGGACCGACATACATGTATGTTTTACGTTTTAATGACCTTGCTATCGTATTTCTTTTATTCTCACTCTCGAGCAGTGGTGGCTTTCACCCCGGAGTTGTTCCTACAATTTTCTCTCCGAATTGTTTGTTTTGAAGGGCGCGGGCGGCTGTTTGCCAGAGTGCCCGTCCGTCACAAACACCGTCATTAGGTCGGAATCGTTCTGTTTTCTTTTTTTTTTGTCTCTCTTCTTCTCTCTCTCTCTGTCTCATCATTACCGTCTGCTTTTCTTGTTCATCTCCACAACCGACTTGTTCTCTTTTCAAGTACTAATTAGCCCCGTCTTCCACTCGGGAGGCGATTCCCAAAGAGGAAAATGACTTGGATGGAACCAACGAAAAAAGAAAAGCGCCTTTTCAACTCGTGTTCTTCCATCTACAAGATTTTTTCTCTCTCGCTCTCTCTATCTTGGTCTCTTTTCCACTATCAGAAAGAAGCAATTATAGGCAGGTTTTTTTTGAGATAATAATTGGTCTCACAGGATAAAATTCTTCGTATCATATAAAGGATATTAAGATTTCATTCAATTCCTGGCTTATACAAACATTTAATTCTCTTCGATAAGGTGATGATTATGTTCACAAAATAAACAAGTTGATTCGACGAATAGCAAAAGAAGCTCAAGCTCAAGGTAGTCCCAGACTGGGGCGGTCTTGCTATTGGTATTAGTCTTTCTTATTCTGTCTTGGTTTTAGTGTTGGTCTTGTTGAATTCTTACGGTTGACTGAGAAAATATTATAAATAATTTAAATCATGCGATTAGTGTAAATAATCATCGTCGCTTCCTGTCCTATTGCCAGAGGACCCTGATGTAGGAGTAGACTTGGAGAAACTTATACGATGATGAGACAGAGTTCGGACGGGGGCGACGTTCCGTGAACGAAATGTTATTTAGGCTGCTACAGTTTCACGAAATGATTTACTATGGAAAAAGTTTGTAGTAAAGTAGTGATCAAATGTGCCTCGCTATATCTCCCCCGTGACGTCCAGCAGAGATCCTATCGGACCAATAAATCCCTTGAAATATAAGGGAACTCCGATGAAAACGGCAGATAAACAAGTTCTACTCGAGACCGTCCTTATTTCACGACCGTTTCCATATCGTGTTTATTATGCAATCGAATGGATAAAGTTCGACTTTGTTCCTATCTCTGGATAACACACATTTAGATATTTTCTAGCTCTTTCAAGTATCTTGTTCTTTTTTGGTAGCTAAAAGGTCAATTTATACGTCGAAGGAAGGGTAAGTTCCCGAATTATTAAAAACAAAACGTATCAGATTAAATAAGCAGCACCGAGATCAAGACCTAACATCATCATCATAAGGTCATCAGTCCTAAGACTGGTGCGACACGCACCTCCACTCTTTCCTATCCTGAGCTAAACTTCGCATTTCCCTAAAACCAGAACAGCCCACATCCTTAACTATTTGCGAACAGTAATCTAATCTAGGTCTACCTCTACCCCTCCTAACTCCTGTTTCTGCCTCTAATATGTCTCTGACTAGACCTTCATGCCTGAGAAGGTGTCCTACCAACCTATCTCGCCTATTTTTTATTGACTTCCATAGAGTCCTCTGTTCTCCTATTCTTTCCAATACCTCTTCATTTCTAACCTTTTCTACCCACGATATCCTCATCATCCGCCTATAACACCACATTTCGAACGCTTCTAACCTTTTCTTTTCCGCCGCTCCCACTGTCCATGTTTCGCACCCGTACAACGCCGTGCTCCAAACATACACCTTTAACAACCTTTTTCGAATTTCTAAATTAACCGTTCGCGAGCATAGAAGTGACTTCTTTTTATTAAAGGCGACACGACCCTGCGCTATCCTCTGCTTTATATCCCTACTACTCCTTCCATCCTCACTTATCTGACTTCCTAGGTATCTAAAATCAGCCACTTCTTCTAATTTTTCGTCTCCTATCTTTATATTCGCTCTTTCTCTACTTTTTCTTCCCTTGCATACCAGTATTTTAGTTTTACTTTTATTTATTTTCATACAGTACTGATCTGTCAGTACCGCTTCCATTTTATTTAAAGCTATCTCTAGGTCCTCCTTGCTAGATGCTAATACTGCTATATCATCTGCAAATCTTAGCATACTAATCTTTTGCCCTGACTTAACACGTAAGACTAATACCAAGACTGGGACCATCTTGACTAGTTCTGACAAAAGGAGACATTGATTTTATGTATTATTTCGCAATTTTCTTCTTCAGATGGTACAGTTGTCTCTAGATAAACAAAAAGTGCGGCCCTTATTTCATGATTTATTTGGACAATTGATTTTGTCAGATTTTGTTTTCGATTGTTTTGTGAACGGTCGCAGGGAGAATGTATTTTTCTTTTGTTACAGGTCTTGCTCGGAGGTGGTCGACGACATTGGCTTCCCAAAGTAGCGAGGGATCCCGAACGGACCAAAGAAGAGGGTCGTCGTTTGGACGGTCGTAATCTAATAGACGACTGGATACGCGATAAGAAACGACGATACCTTCGGGGACATTACGTCTGGAACAAGACGGAACTGGCCGCGGTCAATCCTGACGAGGTCGATTATTTGCTGGGTAAGTCCTGAACATTACATACACATACATTTCGTTTTATCCGTGCACTTGTAGTAGTAACTGATTACTGTTCGTAATTCGTTCCGCTTCCGGTCCAAGCTGCTTCGATCTTTTGTTTATTTAACCTGCTTTCGGACATAGCCTAACAACATATGATCGATCGTCGTATGGCACAATTCGACCGTACAACCTTCAACTGTTCGTTTGCGGCGGTTTTATATGTGTATTGAGCTTTGCGTGGTCACGGTGAGTTACGTGACCGCATTCAATATATAATTTTATCGGTCTGCTGTCGCTAACGTACAGAGTTATACTGATATTCGTAGTCATCTGCCCTATAGTACCGCCGGTACAACTAGTTATAAAAGTTACATAGTGTTGATGTCTACTCGTTTTAAATGGATTTTCTTTTTAAAATGTGTAAAAGATTCCGCAGTGGCATCGCTGATATTTATTTTGTAAAAAGGGAAATTGGGTTGGAGATTTCCCTTTCGGGAATAAACGTCGGAGAATAAAAAGGGAAAAATGCTCTCTTGGAGTCTGTTACGGTAAAAGCATTTTTGAATAGGCTTTTCGACGTGGGTCTTTTATCCCGGAAAGGTCCTTTCTGTTTAACCGAAAAGGACGCTTGATCGAACATGTGTCGCGTCAAGTCTCATAGAACGCGGCGACTTAACAAAGTGACGATCTGTTTTCACCTTCACTTGTTCGGGTGTTAGTAGAAAAAAAAAAAAAAAAACAAAAAACGGTGTTGTGGCCGTTGGTACATTCCCCAGCGTAATTGTTGGCATGGAGGCAAAAAAATGGGTCGTAATTTTCAAAGGAAAACTAGTGTACGTTTTAAATGGTCCATTTTATTTATGTTAATATCCGGATATACCTACCATTATAATACGCACCCCTGCCAAGAAGTACGTGTTGGAAAAATTACGGAAATTTATAAAAAGAACCGGCCTCAGCCTCGCCTAAGAAGCGACGGTAATGAGGCTACATTATGTTTTTAAACGACAGATTTTTCTACCCCCGAAGCTCGCGCCTTTAAAGCAATATACTTAAAACGAATTAGAACGTCGGAGGCTTCGGGGAGTGGAACGCAAGCAGTTGAAAAAACAGAACCCTTAGGATACGCGTATTTTATTCAAAGCAATGTTGTCTCGTCAGAAATGTATTTAAAGTAGATGATATTAACTTTTGAAATTGGATCAGACAAATCGATTTTTCGATTAGATGCTTTACGACAGCGTAATATACCTATACGTATGAATATAAAGGCCAAAATAGTGAACAGTCGAATAATGGAATTAAAGAACGTGATGACAAATCTATCAAATCTATGAAAATACCACAAATGGCGCGTTAAACGTCATCTGTAGTACGATGCTACATTTTAGGATTACGTATGCTCCAACAAGGTCCATTTAAATATATGGATATTTACCGCGCCATTTGTGATATTTCCTAAAACGCGCTGTTAAGACAGCAGGTAAAAGTTGGTCTGTTTGTTCTGTCGGAGCTGTCTGCGACGCGCTGATGAGATCCAAAAAGATCGAAATCGCGATACGCGTCTGACAATTTCGACAGATTACACACTACTTCGAATTATTTTATTAAATCTATCAAAGTTTTGTGGCCTTTTTCTTTTCTCAATGTGTGTGTGTGTGTGTGTGTCTGTGTGTATGTGTGTGTGTGTCAAGAGCCGATGTTAGGAGAGGGAAATCAAACAACAAAAAAAAGCGAAACGACTCTTAGTATTAGGAGACGCCTGAAAAAGAAAAACGATCGGCAGTCAAAATAATACGCCGACCATTAGTCCTCTTTCCCTTTTACGGCTCCTTTCACGCGTTCAGACCGCCCTTTATGTTTCTTTCATAGAATTTACGCGACTACAGCGCCCTTTGTCAAGGGTTCTGGTGATTGATAAATAAATAAGAAATGTGGGCTTATGTTGCTCCGTTTTAGCCACTTTTTGACTCGAACTTCCCGGACCTCCTGCCTAATATTAAGTTTCCAATTTGCCTCAAAATAATTTAAAACCCACGACTGGGGTTTTATCTAGCGGCGCGGTTGCAGTTTGCCCTGTCAAGTTCCCCGTGGAAGGGGGCGGATTATTTCTACGTTGTGGCTGTTTAAGTTCGCGGACGTAATGCTGAGTTACGGCCGCTGGAGCGTCTATGTCTTCGAGGAAAGCCGTGCGGATATATTTTATTTCGAAGGACGTACAAGTGCCGATATACATACATAGTAGAGACGCCGTCGAGGACGTTCCGATCCGGGGGACAATAAATTTCATCGCTGTATACGTCCGGTTACACGTAAGGCAACGGGGACGCTTCTTCTAATCGCAAACGTTGGCAAAAAAGATTTATTTTTATCGCGAAATAAACAACGGAAGATGGAGATATTGATAAGCAAAAGTTTCGGTAACAAAGGCCATTTCCAGCTATTGTAAATTCGGGATCGCGGGCCTAACTCTGCTAAAGGAATCGGATGAAATATTACGTTTATCCTCACTGGTCCCGAACTATCCATTGAAAAGACAAAGAAAGAAAAGAAAACCATACGCATATCGCAAAAACATCACCCAAAAATTGGATAAGGGTCGAAGCGGTCGCTTGATTAATGTCCTCCATCGGGCTGGGCTTGACTTTCAGCCTTTTAATTGAACTTTATGGGGTGCCAAAGCAGAACATCGCTCGTTCTTGAGACACGTTTTTAGTTAATTTCTTCCAAACGTTTCTTATTAACGTACAAGGGCGGGCTTAAAAGTTCGTAGGCTGACCCACACATGACTATACTAATATCAAAGCCATATGATTTTTAGTTAGCTCTAACTTTCAAAAGACACGTATATAAATTTGACAGCTGTTGGACTATTAGTATCTGAGTTATAGCATTTTTAGTGAAAGAACTTTTGTTGTTTGAAAAAGAAAGTGCTGTTTCATCAAGACAATGCACCGTGTCGCAAATCAATGAAATCGATGGCAAAATTCCATGAATTTTGCTTCGAATTGCTTCCGCATCCACCGTACTCTTCAGATCTGGCCCCCAGCGACTTTTTTCTGTTATCAGACCTCAAGAGGATGCTCGCTGAAAATCGCCGAAACTGAAGCCTATTTTGAAGCTAAAGATAAATCGTATTATAAAAATGGTATCGAAAATGACCGCTATAATCGTTGTATGGCCCTCGAAGGGAACTATATTGAATAATAAAATCAAAAAAATTATTTTTTCTACGCTAGCCTACGAACTTTTCAGCCCGCCTGTTAGATCTATGTATAGGTACATTCAACTATTGATTATACCATTTTGCGAATGCAAATTAATAAATTATCGACCGACGCTGCAACTGGAATGACAGGGGAGACGGAACAGGACGGGATTTAACGGATACCGATTTGGACGTGTATCGTGGATTTTCTGAAAGAATTTATTGACAATCAAAGTCCGTATCTGGCGTATCAACCTCGCCATTTACGGTATCGCATCGGACGTAAATTTAACGACACACAGGCAACCGTACATATGTAGTAAATTACGCCCTTAAAGACCTATCTGACAACAAACAATATGCGTTCGTTAGGGAAATGGAAAAACCCCGCCGCCGCCCTAAACCTGAACTAATCCACGTGCGCAATTAATGTTTATTTTTATTAGCGTCGCTGATTGTTTTTTTATCGACGCGGTCTCACGCAAAAAAGACAAATTGAAAAATCAAGCATTGAAATTGCCTTTGTTTCTCGCTGTTTATTTTTTTAAGTGAAACTTGTTCACGCACGGTAGAGTAAGTTCGTTTCATGCGAGTTGCTATGTAACGAAATCATGCAACGCATTTCCCCCGCTGTCTGTCCCTATGTACGCTTAGATCTTTAAAACTACGCAACGGATTTTAATGCGGTCTTTTCTAATAGATAGAGTGATTCAAGAGTAAGGTTTATATGTATAATACATGCATAATACATTAGAAAAACACTGATAATTTTAGAGGTTTGTAATGTGATGTCGTAAATAAACACATTTTTTTGCGTTTACATTGCAAACGCTGGCTGAACCCTACGAGATAGATCAAAATAATATACTACAGTAATGTACACCTTAAAAAGGTCTACAAAAAAGTCCGCGATTGTATATTATGTCTGTCTCTTAGGGATAAACCCACAATAACCGTTTTTTATCGTTTACTTTTTACGATATAATGACTTATTTACGAAGCGATTTTAAGCAATACAGCATTAATCCTTATCCAATTAAGAACTTTTAAATACATTGTGCATTTAATATAGATTAGTATGGCTCTTTACAGCATGTAATTTAAATGAATATTTTCGAAGATATTACAGACTTAAAATGCAGGGACATAGCGATTGCGGCGGTACCGGCCGGTTTGTATTGTCTAATGACAAAAAAGCTGTGATTGTTGTATATAAAGACATTCTATAGTATATTTACTATCAGCATTGCACCCGTGCGAAGCATAGTGTACAAATAATACCATTAAACCAATTCCTTAACCCCTATCCCGGTATGTTTGTGTGTTTGAAGAAGTTTCACTTCAGTAGCGTGTTGTATAATTACACGTTGTATAGTATTATTTATTTTATTTAATTTAGTGTTAGTTTATTCATACTAACGTGTTTTTTTTTCTTTGCAGGACTTTTTGCGTATTCCCATATGGATTTTGAAACGGATCGCGACCCAGGGCCTAAGGGTGACCCGTCGCTGGCCGACATGACGCGAACAGCCCTGTCCGTTCTCCAAAAGAATCCCAAGGGTTTCTTCCTTTTCGTCGAAGGTAAGTTGTCTTGCACTTACTATTCTTTGTTGTGTGATGCGACATCTTTAGATTGCGGGAACGGGTTTTCCCATCAGGATGAAATAGGATATTTTGTGTTTTTCTTCGGGGAACCTCGATATCCAGTGGATAAATACTTCTGTCACAGACAATTTATTGCAATTTCTATTCGAATAAGGCGTAACATCAGAAATCGAGCTTTCGAAAAATAAATCCTTGAAATTTCCTTCCGTCCTTCGACTTTTCGAAAATTATAATATATAAAGCGTTCGTTCCATCATCTCGAGTTAAAATGGGGAAATTTTCCAATCTCCCTCATCAACAACAACTCGAGTCATCCTGTTACTTGACCTGTTTTTCGGAAAATTCAGACACGTGTTGGAGTGAGTATAAACATGCTTGCGGCGTTGGTAGATTGTAGCCGAGCAAAAATGGGAAAAGAGAGAGAGACCAAGGAAACGAAAACGATACTGGTGTCAATAATAAAGACCTCGAAGCAACCCTCTCTCAAATAAAAAATAACCGACCGCGATGAAAAGGATGAAAATATAAAAATGTTAAGATGCTTTTGGCAAGACTTTTAATGGAAATAGATGGCAGATCGAGTCCCGTTTTCTGATACGCCATTAAATTAAAACGTAAGGGAAAGTAAATTAAACGCAAATGAATAAAAATATCGATTAGATACGTTGCAATGAGGGGATGAAGAAAGTAATTTTAGGTTTTTTGTTTGGAAACTAAAGATAAGGCAGAGACGTACTTGAATTTGTTGCTTTGGTTTCGTCCCATTTTTTAAGCGTTTAAGATGTCCCGTAGGAAAAATTTCCATTCAATTTCCATTAAAAAAATACCATTAAATTACCACCGATAATAATTAATGGTAATAAATGGAGAATTGCCAATGGGATTCCCATTCCCGAACTCAATGGGATTTCCATTGCTAAACGCAATGGCATTACCATTGGTGGACTCAATGGAAATTCCATTGCGTTAATTCATCAGTATGCCTTTTTCCATAATCCATATTATTTTGTTGAGAATTTGGTTCCTCAGGTACCTGAACCAAGGCACGTGCCTGGATGTCTGGCTCTTCATCATTGTGTTTACATTTTTTTTCGCTTGCATCTGATAAAACTGCATCACTCTCACAGGTGACTTCGGCCTCCTCTATATTCTGGCATGGTTCAAAATCAACAAACAATGCTTCTAATGTAGGCTTTTTCGCTTGTCTAGGGGTTGTTTAATAAAAGGCTCCGGGTAGTTGAATACATATATAATAAACATAATAATGAATATAAACAGCAAACAGCAAAACGAGTAACAAACAGGAACTAAATATATACAACTTATATACAATATTCAATGTATCGCGTCTTCCAAAATACATACGTCTTCGTGTAATCACCATAAATACGTCTTCCGTCTTTTTTGAGCAAGAATGCTCAACGTCTAAATGAAATATACCGTTTTAATCAAACATCTTACCACCTTGCTTGTCTCTCACTCTACTGCCGTGGTGGTCCCTCACGTACCCCCAACATGCACGCATAGGTAAAACTAGATTATTGATTTTCCACCACCTAATTGGCAATATCACTACTCTTGCACCTGGGCAACGAAAAACTGTATCGAAAAAGGCTAATAGTATATGTGGTCAGGAATTATATTGTAAATGGAAACAATTATTTTTCCATTTATGCCAAATGGTTTTGAATGGAATTTACAAATTTTCCATTGATTCCCATTGAACTTCAATGGAAATTTTTCCTATGGGGTGGCATTATGGGATGATATTAAAAACCTAGTGATCAGGGAGGGTTAAAAATGAGGAGATATATATGAAAGACTAGGAGAACACAGGGACCTATGGACGTCAATAAGGAATGGCGTGACATGAAGTACTAGTTAAGGACATTTTAGATGCTGAAACAGCAGTTAGGTAGTTTTCAGGTTGACAGAAACAGAATCTCGCCGATTAAATGATAGAAAGTGCTATCAAATATGAATTTAAAATCTCATCGTCACTTCTATCCTGAGCTAATATTTGCATTTCCTTAAAACTACAACATCCCATGTTCTTATCTGTTTGTGAATCTAATATAGGCCTACCTCTACTCCTCATAATTCCTATTTCTGCTTCTGATATGTCTCTAACTAGCTCTGTAAGCCTGAGGAGGTGTCATACCAACCTATCTCGCCTATCTGTTTCGAATTTCTAAATTAACCTTTCGCGAGCACAGAGGTGACTTCTTTTTGTTGAGGGCGACTTTAAAATCTCATGATATTCAAAAAATTTGACGTTTTCGAGAACCATCCGAAGGGCGGCACATGTCGCATACGTGGCTTTCGTTGGTCCACGCATTCCTCCGTGCTGATACCGAAATTAAATCCTGGCGTTCAAAAGGACCGCATGAAACACGGATGGAACAACAGCTGTGCGATATTGCGCGTTGGACGACAACCTCGTAAATTCCGATTGAAAGTGCGATCCCATTATTATTGCGTACTGTCGGACCTCTTGTTGCTTGACTGTCCTCGAAACCGTGTGAAAGGAAATCCGACTAGAACGAAGGACGAATGTGCCTTCGTCCCTTCAAAGAGAAATTGCTCGTTCATTCGCAAATTCCTAGCCGTACGACCCTTTCAAAGGGGATTCTTCTTATTTAAACAAGACCGTCCGAGAGCAGAACTTACGCATAGGGTCTATTCATTGGCGTGTTTCGTAAATCCAATTAGGCATTACCTACAATTCAAATCTACGAATGGAGAAACGCCGTTGAGGCTTTAACGCACTAAATAGGGGTTGCAAATGAGAAATAAAAAGTAGTGTATGTAATAACGAAGGTCAGACGAGGGCGACAGTTTCTACAACGGTAAAGACATATAATTTGATAGCCTTCGTCAAGATCTCTCTCTTTCTCCATTTATACAAATAATATATTGGTTAACTGGCTTGCAATTTTTATCAATTTCTGAATTTAGAACTCTTTTTAATCTGTACAACTTTTATGTATGTACAAAGCATTCAAATCTATGTTACCGTTAAGCCAGCATTGGTAAGAAACGCCTTCGCTCGACCGTTTTTTCGCCGACTTCCCTTGCAAATTTGGTTACGGCGAAAAGTCCTTTTGTTTAAATGAAGTAATATATAGCCTACGTCTACCCTGAAGGTCTATTCTAAATATTGGTGCAAGAATTTTTGAAATCGGATGAATAGTTTCGGAGATAACCCATTTCCCAATTAGTGTTGACAATCCGGGTTCGTCGCTTAACTCACCGTTGATGTCTCCGACACTTTTTATCAAATAACGGAAAAACTGGACACCTCATGAAAATTTTTTTCAAACAAAAATCATTCTTCAGTTCAAGGGCCATCTAATGGTGTAAGCGGAAAATCTCTATCTTTCATATTAACTGACCTTTGACCTCGAATGTAGTATGAAACACGAGTCAAATCAATCAATAGTTAAAACCACAGAAACAAAAGTTATTTATCTTCGCTCAGAACAATCCCGGTTCATCGCTTAACTTACCGTTGATATATCTGACACTTTTCTTCAAATAGCGGGAAGCTGGACACATCATAAGAATTGTTTTCAAACAAAAATTATTGTAGAATTCAAGGACTATATAACGATATAAGTAGAAAGTATCTGTCTGATATATTAATTGATCTTTTACTCCGAATGCAATAAAAACACTAGTCAAAGTAATCAGCTAAACAAACACAAATTATTTTTCTTCACTCAGAACTATCCGGGTTCGTCGCTTAACTCACCGTTGATATCTCCGACACTTTTCTTCAACTAACGCAAAAACTGAACACTTGATAAAAAATGTTTTCAAACAAAAATCATTCTGGAGTTCAGGGGTCATCTAACGGTGTAAGCGGAAAATCTCTAGCTCGTATATTAATTGACCTTTGACCCCAAAAAGGTAAGAAACACAAATCAAATTAATAAATAATCAAAACTAATCAACATAATACACAAATACACCCTATGTCTCACCGATTTATCAGTATGGCGAAACATATATTACAAGAAGAAGGCTTGTCAATTTTTACTTAGATTTGGTTTCTCCTTAAAAATGTAACCGAATTGGATAAAATAAACTTAATCAGTATCGTATTTCATAGAAATTGAAGCTGTATTTTTTCTCCGTGTCAATAAAACTTGTTTGCATGCTCGGCAATTTTTTTTTGTCTTCCAAAGCGAACAGCACTAAATTTTTTACGAGTCCGATGTATTTTATTTAAAACGAAAAAAATCCTATTAAAAAGCACCCGCCGTTCGTGACACGTAATATCGTAACAAAAACGAACTTTTCAGGAGGCTTTTATTTAAACATCAAATAACTTTTTGTCTCCCTGTGTTGGGACTGGCATTCCCGAAAGACCGAATTCCATTTTTACAGGTCCGAAAAAATAAATATGTCGATCGTTCTTTCTCGTTTCCCTTTTTGTTTTTTTTTTTTTGTTTTCTTTGTTTTCAGCAGTTTGAAAGGTTTTTCTAGTTGTTGTTTAATACACCCAGGCGCATTTTTTATTAATTCTAAACACGATAAACAAACGTACCCTTTGACAGATATTATAACGTGTCACCCTCCTGAAACTTTCCCGATATTCTTGCGTATTGCGGTTCTTTGTTTAGAAATCGAGAAAAGAATAAATCATAAAGTTTTGTCTCCGTTCCCATGAAGAATTGTACTAATTAGGTTTACAAACTGCTCCGAAATTAAGCCAACGAAGGCCGAAGCGTCGTCCGTACCCCTTTTTATGAGAGGGTTATAGATGAGTGTGGTCTAACCCTCTCTGACCGAATCGCTGATAGACTTTCAGGTAATTTGTAAGTAATCCTGGTGGCAATCTGTTTTACCAAGTTCGCAGAGTAATCAAAGCCCTCCTCATCCAACCCTTCTCTTTTCCCCTGTGTCTTCCCTTGATTAGATACCGCCTAACAAATCGGCCCTGCGGTAAGGGAGAAATTAACGACAAACGCCCATACGTGAATCGATTGTATGCGTTATTATTGGCGACTATTATTACATTACAATACAATAGAAGAAGAAGAAGGCATCGGAAGCGTGTTGGAAGGAGTCTGCAGTTCTTTCTTATCGTCCAACTCCTTCTTTCTATTCTCCCGGCAAATGTCTATCTCCTTTTTCAGATTCTGAAGCACCTGTCTCTCCTTAAACTTAATTCGGTTCTTCTGACTCACTTTCAATCCGTAGTTCTGTTTTCTCTGCAACAATTCCAGCTTCTTTTTATCTATATCGGGTCCAAGACTACCTAATAAGAATTGGAACACGACGACAGTGCTGCATACTGTTTCTGTTTCAGAAAATACCACAAATGGCGCCGTAAGCGCCATCTGTAGTACGATGCTACATTTTAGGATTACATATGCTCCAACAAGGTCCACTTGTGTGGATATCTACTTGCTGAAAACGAATCCAGGCGTAGCCAACCTCAACGTGATAGGCACGTTACCATAATCGAATAAAATAATTCGAAGTGGTCTGTATTCTGTCGAAACTGCCTGACGCGGATCGCGATTTCGATCTTTTTGGATCTCATCAGCGCGTCGCAGACAGACCACTTCGAATTATTTCATTCGATTATGGTAACGTGCCTATCACGGTTGAGGTTAGCTACGCCGGGATTCGTTTCAGCAAGTAGATATCCACACAAGTGGACCTTGTTGGAGCATACGTAATCCTAAAATGTAGCATCGTGCTACAGATGGCGTTTACCGCGCCATTTGTGGTATTTTCTAAAACGCACTGTTAAGACAGCAGGTAAAAGTTGGCCTGTGTTCTGTCGGAGCTGTCTGCGACGCGCTGATGGGATCCAAAAAAATCGAAATTGCGATCCCCGTCTGGCAGTTTCGACGGAATACAGTTTTTGTTTCGTTTGTTATTTAATAAGTCTTACCCAAAATGGGACTGACTATTTGTGCTTTCGGTTTTCCGTGCAGTTTCCTTCCAGTCGTTCGTCCCCCTTTAGTGAATTCAGTGAGATGTTGTTGTGAAACGCTTTTAAGCTCGGACATTTCGCTCACAACGGTGTCGAGAGATATCTGGCTCACTTCGTTCGTCCTTGCAGACTGACAATAAATGCAGTCGTCGTAGGTCTGGTCGTTGACGCAATCTTTGAACTCGCAGCAGTTCTCCGTGTCATCGGTGAGACCGCTGCAAAACGAAAATCTGTCCGTCACGTCCCCATCGGTCGCTCTGTCGGTCTCTTGTCCGGGAATTCGGTTAGACTTTGGCGTCGTACGAGACTGAACAATTAAATTAGAGACCGCTTTAATTATTTGTTTATTTATAATAATAAAATTGTTTGGAGCACGGCGTTGTACGGGTGAGAAACATGAACAGTGGGCGCGGCAGAAAAGAACAGGTTAGAAGCGTTCGAAATGTGGTGTTATAGGCGGATGATGAGGATAACGTGGGTAGAAAAGGTTAGAAATGAAGAGGTATTGGAAAGAATAGGAGAACAGAGGTCACTATGGAAGTCAATACAAAATAGGCGAAATAGGTTGGTAGGACACCTTCTCAGGCAAGAAGGTCTAGTCAGAGAGATATTAGACGCGGGGTAGAGGTAGACCTAGATTAGATTACTCTTCGTAAATAGTTAAGGATGTGGGTTGTTGTAGTTTTAGAGAAATGCGAAGTTTAGCTCAGGATAAGAAAAAGTGGAGGTACGTGTCCAACCAGTCTCAGGACTGACGACCTTATGATGATGATTTATAATAATAAATGTTACCTTGAACAACGAGAGGTAAGAGTTCTTGTTTCTGGAAGTAAAGCTGTCTTTCTCCAGGACAAAATAATCGCTACGCGTGCTTTCTCTGATCAGTGGACTCCGTAGCAAACATTTCTTACACTTGTTCTTGGTGTCTTTCGTCGAGAGGTCGTTTCGGGGAATCTCCCCGTCGTAGAGAGGCACAGAATCGGCTTCTAAAGTCTTGTCTTCCACAACAGATTTTTCGCTAGGAGCACTATCGTCCGGATCGCAGGTGACTGTAGTACTAAAAAACTCCTCGTCTAACGAATCGTAGAACAGATCTTCGTCGCTGTCCATGAATACAGTCGCAAACCATCAAATAAAATTTGTAGAACGGTGTAATAATGTGGTTAAAATGTCAAAGTTGTGGCAGAAATAAACGTCACTTGAGTTAGTTTTACGTGTCTCATTGGATTCGTGCGTGCACGTATCCGTATCTCTTTGTGGCTGAGACGTATCGAGTTACAAGAAGTCACGTTGACTGTTGGTGCACCACGAAATCAATAATAGCTCACTTCCGCGGGCGACTAATGAGTTTTGCGGTCGAGTTTCTAAAGTTGTCTGCTCGTATAGTTCGCCGGAATGTTCGGGACCCACCTGGGGTATAACCTGGGACGACGGCGACGTCGAAAGCAATAATTCGTAACAGAGTTGAAACGTTACTGCGGACGGATAGGGCGTCATAAACTAGCGTCAGTAGGGACGTTTCGTAATTAAAAAACCCTTGACGGTAATACCTGAATGCTCGTTCCGTTGAATAAAACTTCTTGCTTCTTGCTTCAAGTATTTACCACGTTCTCTACCTGAGAAATAAATTTCAATTGGAATTTCATCAGCCAGCAATTAATAAGCAAGTAGAGTGGTTTCTAAAGTTTTCGTCATTTGTGGAATCGTTAATGAAGTGGAAAACTTAATCTCAATCCTTATACAAGTTAGTTAGATCTTAGTTTTTCGTTTGTTGTGGAAAGGCTTTAAAAATATTCGAAGCGTCAGTCTTCCAATTTGCATCTTCGCAAATTTCATAAACTTTTACAGCTGTACATTCAGCTTTTATGGTCTAAATATGCACCTGAAGTTATTTCCGTTTCCATTTTTAAAGCCCTTAGCTTTTCGCCTTTCAATGTAGATGCAATAATATTTTTGCAATCTTGCGCGTAGTATTTATTCCATTATGGCCAGAAGCTTCAGTTGCGTTCTGCCATAGGGATCGATTTATCTCCGTTATAGGTACCTACGCGAAAAGAAATTCCATCACGGGGCGAACACGTTAGGCATATATCTATCCACGCCAGTTGAACGAGCGGCTCAGCAAAGCTCGTTATAGTTTCAAGTTTCAACCCTATCCGATCATTTGGTGTAACAATATAAAGGATATATACAACCCCAAGATACTTAATAATCTCTTTTATGGCGGCGCTGACCGGATTCAGAATAATTTCAAAAGGAACCTCTACGATTTTCTCCGATGCGATAAAAGAACTATTTTAATAAAGGAGACTACCGAAATTCCTATCTGGATTATCCTGGAGATGGATAAATGTCACCCTGTGGCGATTGAAGTATATTTTATATTGATTATCTTGACGATGATGGAAATATAGCTAAAATAGGCTCTCCAAAATTGAATAGAAACATACAAATAACGACGGTGTGAATGCTAGAAAGAATTGGAACAGAGGACTGTATGGAAGTTAATAAGGAATCAGCGAGATAGCTTGATAGGACACCTTCTCAGGCATGAAGGTTTTGTCAGAGATATATTAGAGGCCGAAAGAGGAGTTAAGAGAAGTAGAGATAGACCAAGATAGTTTTAGGGAAATGCGAAGAAGATTAACTCAGGATAGAAAGAAGTGGTGGTGTGTTTCCAACCAGTCTTAGGACTGACGACCTTATGATGATGATGATGATAATGTGAATACTACGTAAATGTTCCACATGTTGTATTTTCAGGTGAATCAAATCATTCCTTCTGATCATTATCTTTAAAATTTACCCCCTAGACTCACTTTGTTTTCGTGATTTGTACACAAACCTAAACAGAGAGCTCGATATATATCTGGTGTATGAATACCACTAGCAAAAGTACAGATCCAAGTTATGTTATATTCGAGAAACATTCGTAGTTATGACACTGGCTAAAAGCTCATAAATGAAAACGTGGAGAATTGTTTGCATAAAATGGTTTAATACAGTGTTTTGTGCTGTAAATTCATCGACCAGGTAAAGGTAGAAGCCGGAGATGGAGAAAGAGAAAATTCCTTGGTGGGATGCGAGGGAAAATGTAAGAGGCTGGAGCTGCTTTATATGCGGTCGCGGGACAAGGAGGCCTCTCCTTGCTGCTTGCTCCTCGAGGCAATAACTTCTCCCGCTAAGAAGCAGGCCAAGTGGAAGTTATTGGGTTGAGAGAACGAGCGAGAAGTGTACCGCGTCAACGACAGGATTGCGCCGCGCCGCGTCGCGACGGTCTTGTCACCCTATGGCAGATACTTACGCGGCAGTCTTTAAAAAAGAGAAACCCGATGTCTAGTTATTGTATCTCTTGTTCCGGACTTGTTCGCCTTTGATCTTTGGAATAATGAGCGAGGTTTTCGAATTAATTGCACCTCTGCTTCTTCGACGAAAGATTTAAATACGGTCTACGTCGGTTTGTCTTTATGTACTTCTGTATATGTTTAAAAGGGATGACGAAAATTAAAAAGAAGCAGCAGCGAAGAAAAGAGCGGAAATTATAGGATCGTTTATAATTACGAGGATTCTCATGTAGGAATTTCGACAAAATTAAAATCCAAAAACTCCCAAGTTTGATTGAACGTTTTGCGGTTTTATTCCAGCTTCTTCATTTGTACGTATAAGTAGATTTTTAAGTTTAAAAATGTCTCTTTGAGCACTTTGTTTGATTTTAACTTTGTCCAAATGGTTCTGAGAGAAGCCTTGTAATTTAAATGAAACACTTGGTAATACCTCACTAATTAATCGAGACAAATAAGTCCTTAGCGGTGACAATGGCAACCCCTCTGTCGAGTATTCTCAATAAATTAGCAGGTTGTCAAGAGTGTTTCAACTGAAACTTAAGATTATTGACATGAATAATGCAAATCGTCAACAGTTTTGTTTCATTTACTCATTTAGCTTCGTCTTTATTGTTCCAGGTGGCCGTATAGACCATGCCCATCACTTCAACAACGCTTACAGAGCCCTGGACGAAACGCTCGCAATGGAAAATGCCCTTCTCGTTGCCCTTTCGAAAGTTAGTCCTAGGGACACGCTCCTGATCGTCACCTCCGATCATTCCCACGTCCTTACCATGGGAGGACAAGCAACTCCAAGAGGGCACCCCATTCTCGGTAAGTCGTTAAATTAAAAATTGAGTTATTTTGTGCATGATTTTTACGCAGTAGTGGATGTTGTTCATTTTCCTTTTTCATTTGCAAAGTTCCACATTGAATTACGATTTCATCGAACCGGAAAATTAATTATTATCATTTCCTATAACGAATTCAATGAAAATGAAAAACGGTCTCGTAAAAAATAACTGAATTTGTAATCCATTTGCAAATATTCATTTTTGTACTAAAACCAAATCAATTTGAAGGCAATTAAATCGGTATTTTCGCTTCTATCTCTTACAGTAACCATTAATTGAATAATTCCCTTTGTTAAAAAGAAAACAAGAATAAATAAGAGCGTTTTGCGGTATGATTGTATATAATCAAGGTATAATACGTACAAGCACAAGTTTGTTCTTAAGTATTCCTAAATAATTCATGTTAGTATGTGTACCACAGTTACTAGCGATAAAGATCACCTAAACTTAGGATTACTACCTACAGGAATCCTGCTGTAGCTCCAGATTCTAGAACAAACTACGGCTAAACTTAATGCAGCTTATCAGCACTGGATACATGTACTCGTGTATCGAGACGATTTAACAATGCAAACTCTAATTACCTATAGAAATACATGACCAAATGCTCCTCTGAAATTTGCCAAATTAGTCTCCAATAACAACACGAGCGCAGTTTCTTATCTATCGGACCAATATGGCTAATTAGCTCGCAACATCGAAAAGTAACGGTTTAATTGATTTTAATAACAAACTAGACATTGATTAAGAGAACAATTGTATAAATACCTATACAAAAAGCTGTGGGATGTCATGGATGGCTCTACTAATTATTTTTGGTCGAGGTATTTGCGCCTATTAAATTGCTTTTAATTGTTAAAACTATCTGCAATTTCTTTAAGTACTATTTAGGCCTAAATTTAAATTTCAACCGCTGCATGCACGTTAGTCCTTAGATATACTTCGTTATTTCGATGTGCTTTTTGAAAATATTTTTTTGCATAAGTTTATCATCTTTCCATGTGACCACACCCCTCAGGTGTATTTTCTCGTTAAATGATTTAGTTACGTGTGAACGCTGGGCGTCGTCGTCATCGTCATTTCGTTGAGAAGTATTAGATAACGAATGCGGCGTCGATAACGAGCGAACTGCGGCTGACAAATGGTTCTCTCACCTGCCTAAAGGGGTTGGTGCCTTTTCTTTGACATTTTTAACCCCCCTCGCGCGTAAACGAAATGGAAAACTTTTGTGTTTCCCATCCGAATGCAATTTACCGGAAGATATTGGAGCGCGATAAGTCGATACCCATCCGTTCCTGGCAAGGTAGGAACGACGTTGACGCGACGCCTCTCCCTTTGAATTTTTAATCGAGCGAAGCTGAAAAGGCAGGGACCACAATGAGGAATTTTTCCCCGTTCGAAGTTTTCCCTAAACCCGTCGTAGTGTGATAAAAGGTGTAAAGAAGAAAAGAAATGTTTTAATAAAGACAAAAAGGAGTTTTCGTCTGATTTTTTTAGCAAAAGAGGGAGCTCTCTTGTTTCTACCATATTTCATGAACTGCCTCCAAATTGTTGTATCGAAAACAAAGATAATGGAGGAGATGTTTCCACTATAAGCGGGAATCTTCTCCTATGTATATTCCTTCGCCAGCGGTTTAATTGAAACCCGATTCATTCTCTCGAATTCTATTCTAAAAACGTCGGTAACAAAACCGAATTAATGAGTTCTCCCCCGAAGGAAATGTTTCAACCGGTCGGACTTGTGCGCATTTCGCAATTTATTCTCAATTGTCTCTCTCGTTTTTACTGTGGTAAACGACAAGGAATGTCGACAAATATTTAATCGCTTCTAATATCCATCCCGAAGCCGGCCCTGTGCAATGTTTGCAGAACAATTTATACCTTTTATCCACCTGAACGGGCCCCGACGATTGGAATTACGGAAAAAGATTTTCTTTGACATTACCGAGAACAAAAGAAAAACACAAGGCAACGACATCGAACAAAAAAAGGTTTTAGATGAACCGCTTTAGTCGATACAGACACGGTCCTCAAAATATCTGAAGCTGGCGAAACGTTAGAAAGCGATCCCAACCCACGACGCCCTTTAGACCCTGATCGGAATAGGATCAGTTTACTCACTCTGTGTAACTTGAAAGTCAATAATGTTGCGAATTGAAAGTCATTTTTTAGCGCGACATATTTCAGTTTGCTAATGGCAAAACTAGACAGAATTAGACCGCGCGAGGATGAATGGCATTCTGGCAAAGATACGAAATATTATGCGACATTACATACCTACCTACTACTCGTACACAAGAGACAAACTGACGCGGCGCGATTCGACGCTACGGAAAATGCTAATGTAAATTGACGCGAGTGTTCGCCTTCTTCTGAAAATGTGTCCCCCTCGAGAAAACATCACATAATAAATCAACCCGCCCGGTATCATTAATCTGCCGCGGGTACAGATTGCCGCTATTCGGCTTCAATTAATCTTGAATCAAAGTCGGCCGGGACGATGAACATAATGCACTGCTGCGGCACCCGAAGGCGCAAAGGCATCAGCCCCATCAAAACAAAACCAGAAAGAAAAAAGCCAGAGAGAGAGAAACTGTAGAAACACGGACAATACCGTAGGTACTCAAAACGCGACGTCTTTTTCATTCACCCCTCCCCTCTCACCGGGCTTAGCAGTCAATGAAGTGATTGATAATTAAGTACAATGTGGCAGGGATACTAATGTACAATTAGTAGCAGGCTTGCAGGAGGTATTAGGACAGTATAAAACAAGAAAATTAAGTAAATGTTTAGTGGTTCGAAAGTCTACCGTTTTCGAGAAAAACGTATTTGAAAGTGCGGTCCGGCCCTGGTAGGATCACGCAGGGTAATACGACACTGCAACAACGCAGTAGTGCATGCTATAGCATGCGTGTTGTACAACTATCTCTGTTGCGTTCTTGATACTATGTCAAGGTGAACTTTAAATAATACTGCATACATTATTTAATTAATTGTTATCGCAGTGGGCGTTTAAATATTATTATGTTAATAAAGTGATAGTAAACTGTTGATATTTACTTTATTAGTAGTTCGACAACCATCACCGTTTACATTTTTTATCGATTTACGTAGTTACTTCATTATTATCGTAATTTCTCTATACTTTTGCAATTCACGCCCAGGGTCGGCTTCGGATTGCAACATCGTCCAGTTTTTTAACAAACTTCTGTGTTCCTTAACTAGACTGCTTTACTTACCAAGCGTTCCCTATTGCTAACACCCTCCAATATACATAAGTTTATGCGTAGTAATTGACACTCGCTCTATCTTATTGCACGCACTCATAATTAGGATCATATGTAATGAAGATTGGCCAATTTTGTAAAAGGCATCCTCGACGTAATAAATCTTCATTCACGTCCTCGAATATGGCAATACAAGGATAACTCCAAGAACAGGAATCGAGAGAAAAGAGAGAAAATGCAATATGCGCTCGACTTTGCAGTGTGTGTGTACTGTGTAAGCAAATGCAAACGTTTCTGTTCCTCATTTTGACAACGTTAGTCCATTATGAAGCATCAACAGCAGCGACGGCACCACCGACTGACTCCCTTTGGAGACACAGTTCTAGCGAATATTTTTAACGTTCACGAACTAAAGGGAGTTAAAATTTTATTTTTCAATGTCTACAAAAGGGCAGAACAAAAGGATGAGCGGCAAGCTTATAACGTAAAGGAAAGACTTAATGAACCAAGCATGGAAGCATGAAAATGTTCCCTAAATAAATAAATAATGTAATTATCCAGGAAAAAAAATACGAAGTGCTTCAGTGAAGAGAACGGCAATAAGACGATAAAGGGAATATATTGTACTGAACCAGCTTTGATGTAGTAGTATGGAAAGCTTTAAACTTAACAAAAAAAAAACAAAAAGCAAAAAAAAACACGAACAAACGAACAAAGTGGAATCTAGTTGGTTTGTGAAGTAAAATTAAGATCTAATATTAATTTAGCTTTGTCAAGGTCCCAAAATTATCGAAGAAGAAATTAGTCGGAAGATTAGGCGGAAATTCGATGAATAAAATTAAGAAAATTATACAAACGAATTACGTTATCTACTTCCACAGCCCCAGCACATCGAACCGAAGTAAAGGGAAGATTGAGGGGATTAATCTGAGCTACTTTTTTTTAATAATTATTTATTTATTGTATCGCATCATCAGCCTCCTAAGGCTAATAGGACGCGCGCCTTCACTCATTCCAATCCTAAGCTAATCTTCTTCGCATTTCCATAAAACTACAACATCCCACATCCTTAACTATTTCTGAACAGTAGTCTACCTGTACTCCTGTTTACTCCTGCGTCTGCTTCTAATATGTCTGATGCATGAGAAGGTGTCCTACCAATCTATCTCGCTCTCTGTTCTCCTACTTTATTTAATACCTTCTCATTTCTAATCTCCTTATCTCTTTTCACTTTATCTACACTCCTCATTAAGCATTTCCTAACTCAACAAGGGCATCCTCAAAACGCAGCAAATGACTACAGTTCCAAGTGGAAACCATGAAGAAGGTCCTTCCATCCTCACAGATAATCTATTGCGAACTTTGCCAATTTTAATCGTCCCAGCTACACCTGCAGCATTTTTCTTTGAGAATCAGTTCAGTTACATCTCCGTCTACGTCATATTTGTGCACAGTTAGACTGGTTCGTTCGGGGATGGAGGATCGCGTTTGCGCTTTATCCCTTTCTCGATAAATTATCCGCGCCTCGAAATGCCAGTAACATAAATAATGGATAAAATTTAATCGAAAACGGACGCGTGTAAAGCGTAACGATCTCGTCCATCAGAACGATCGGTTGGTCCACTTTTGACCCGAGAGCGACGACGAGCGAAGAGGTAGGAAGACGCGAAGAGCGAACGGAGAGCATCCTGTGGGAATTTTCGTATTTATTGCACGTAAGGACGAATCGGCTTCTGCTCTTTTTCCGGTTCGAGTTACTTACAATTGCTCGTACGTATTTAATAAGAGTGTGACGACAACTGAAGGATTAATGAAACTGTCGGAAGCGGCGGGAATCGACAGGAATTCAGAGATACGTTTGTGCTGGGATTTTAAGGATGAATCATACATACAGGAATAGTATGAGAACTTTTGAACAGGAATTAACGGAATTCATGAACGTCTTGTTTTCAGAATTGAAAGTGTAATTTACAGATTAGGTTAACCGTCAACATTAATCTAATCCAAGACGATTTCTACTCCTCTTAACTCTAATAAGTCTGCATTAACTAGCCCTTCATGCCTACTTATATGGACTTCCCTAGCGCTCAGTGTTCTCCTTCTGTATGTAACATCTCCTCATTTCTAACAATCTTTATGCGAAAAAAATCGTGTAAAAATTCAATCAAACACAACAACAAACCCACTCTTCCTCTACATACGTCGATTTTCTCCTTTTTATGCGTAAAGAGATTGTGCTTTAATTAGCAGCCTGCTTAACAACAGCATGTACCGAATTACGTTCACAATAATTATTCGCTTGTTTAGTGAAGTGCCACGTCGACGTCTCTCCACGTTTCGGAAGTGGAAGTGACGCGTCGTGGCGCCCTGCTCGGCTGCCTGTCACGCCAGACATTTACCTTCTCTCACGTGCTAGAGATACACCGTTGAGGAAGTCATCGTCTTCTACTCCTCGACGCTTTAGTTCGCATCGTGAGGACTCATGAAGCACACGCTAGGCATTCAATTACACCCGAATATAATACATACATACATATGTATGTACCTACTGTAAAGTGTCCTTAATGCAAACGGGTGGTAAACCAACGCCTAATTTTCGGCCCCTACAGCAACGAGAAGCGTTCCGGTTGAAGACAATTGACGAAAGGGAACGTGTACTCGATGTGTGGAAAGAGAAAGATGAACAGAGAGGAAGTAAGCGTCTACATTGTGAGAAATTCTATGTGGTTTTATTCGTTTGTTACCCCACGAAAGCCGCTATGAATTCTCATTTCTGAATATTTCTTTGACAAACAAACAGATGAAACACGTCGAGCAAGATAAAAAGTTTTAGGTGCTATTTAGAATCTATCTTTAGAACTCATGCAGATTTGAACAGAATCAAGAAATTGCTAGTTGTATTGCCTGTGCATGATTGCATTTTGCCTGTAGCTCGTTCACGCTTTTGTACTGTGTGTTGATAAAATCAATCTGGATCCGTACGATTGATTATGTCCAGGTCCGGACAACAAAATGTCCGACGTGGACGGACAGCCGTACAGTCTGCTCCTGTACGGGAACGGTCCGGGATACAGCAGTCCCAGGATCGTACCCCAGAATTCCTCCACGCCCAACGAAAACCGCGATCAAATGCACAGCTCGGCCGTACCGAGACAATGGGCGACCCATGGCGGCGAAGACGTCCCTGTTTATTCCATAGGACCTCTGTCCACCATCCTGTTCACAGGTACAATTTGAAGGGACTTTTAGATGTATTATTATGGACAGAACAAAATCCAAAAGAGGGAATTGTGTAATCCAATGTAAAGAATATTTAAATTCTGAACGCTGCAAATGAAGCACGGTTCATGATGATAATAGTAATAATATTGGATTTTGTTCTGAAAATGTCAACAAAACGTTGTTTGTTTGTTTCTTGTGGACGAAGAGATTTTCGTTCCAGGTACTTTCGACCAGAGTTACATCCCCCACGCTATCGCTTACAGCGCGTGTTTGGGGGAGCACACGCTCCGTTGTCGCAGCGTGCATAACAGCACGCAGCATCATCAACAACAACAGCAGACTCCCCAGGTTTGCTTCCCGCATCCGCCCGAAGTCTACCCCTCAATCAGCAAATCGGGCAGCGCCATATCGGACGACGATGTTGTGGTCAGGCAAAAAGAGGTGGTCGCTGCGAAAGCGGGACAACCCGACATACGTTACAGAAACTTTGCGACCTCGATCGTTTTCTTTTCGATAACGTGCGTGATCGTTACGTGATATGCGTGAACGTAGTATAATTGAAGGAACAATGAATCGATTGAATAAGACATCGAAAAATTGACTTTGCATTGACAACTGAACTGGACCATATCCTCTCTAATACCAAATTGTATTATTGACAAAACAAATAACTTTTGTTCTTTGTTCGACATGGCTTAATTTTATCGACAAGGCCATCAGGGTACCTTAATGTTTATTACAGTATATTTAAATAATTATTTTGTACATAACGTTTGACATCATTATGAAGGAGGTGTTGTTTTAACTGTACATAAATACATATTATCGATTGTCAATAAATGTAAAGAAATAGAAGATCTAATCCTTACTGTACCTTCTTTTTTTTTTCGACGCATTTGGAACGAATCGTGTCCTTTCTGTGAGCGAAACAGTTTCTTGTTGGACTTTGCTGCGTCATCACTGGATTTCCATCTGATACTTTGGTCAGGCGGAGACGGGACAGTATTCCCCATATATCTGTCTATCTATCTATCTATCTATCGGTAAAGTGCATGATCGTAGAAATGCAATTAGTCCATTCTAGTTAATTAAACAGTTCATCCGATAAACTGCGAACGCGAGCTTTGCTCTGCTCCTCGGTCTATTGGAGATCGGTTAAACTGCATCAGATGCTGATCAGTTAAAACCACACCAGATGCCCCAAACACCATCAACCCTCAAAAGGAAAAGGAAAGAGGGTATCTAACAGGAGCAGGGTGATGCATAGGAAGATGTAGGGACCAATTCAAGGTGGTCAGTTTCTTATGAGCACTACCAATCATAAAAGTAGTCTCTTGAGCTGTAATTAGGGTTGCCATCCGTCCGGGTTTCCCCGGATTTGTCCTAGTTTAGAGGGCATCCGGGGAGCGTCCGGCGGAGAGCTTCATTAGTGGTCCGGGTTTAAAAATTTAAAGTCTGAGTGCTTTTAAAATTTTCGTTTAAAAATTTCGTTTATTTTTTTTGGGTTTGATATTTTTATAGGGTTTTGTTTTCATAACAAAGTATATTAATAATTTGTGTTTTATTTTAAGAATAAAAAAATCTAACTGATTATTAAAACAATTTCTAACAAACTGTAATAAGATTCTGGTTTATTAGGTATATTTAAATAAAATGATGATAAAAAATGACTAAATTTAATAAAGTGATGATTTATGACATTTTCAACTGTTTTTTATTACACTATGTTTAAAAAAAACCTGTTGACGTGTCCGGGTTTCGGACTTTAAAATCCAGGGTTTTCACGCATCTTGTCCTGGTTTCTAAATTTTAGAGGTGGCAACCCTAGCTGTAATGGGTACCAAACGGGTTCATTTGTATTTAATTGTATTTTCGAAATGTAATGAGACTTTTTTGATGCCACTAAGGAATCGTCTTCAATGGTTCGTTTTATTTTATCGTGTTGTTAGATAATGTCGAAGTCGTGTTAAAAATTTATACGATAGGTGTTAGGAGGGCAGCAGCAGTAGCAGCAGTGGATAAGAGGGAGAGACATAGGTGAATTAATTAATTATTTGCACTCCAGCATCTCTCAGTGCTGCTGCTTCACGGTAACTAGGTTCTTGCATAGATTAAACCCGTTAACGGGCGAGGAATTTCGAGATTTATTGCGCCAGATACACGAGTGCCCGTCCTATATATTATACCCACACACGAATACATACGTACACATTTGTACGTGTTTACACTTATACGAAACCTTTTACACGTGCTCTTTGCGAGGTACGAAATCCTTTGATAAAAAAAAAGGTTCTTCCGCGTGCAGCGTAAAAGTTCGAAAGCTAAACTCGAAATTTCACCATACGGAGAAGTTGTGTGCTTTCTCGCTCCTGCCACACACTTCATCGACGAAGTTTATTTCAACAGTCACAGTCACAGTATAGTTAAGACGATTAAAATTGGCGTAGTCAGCAATAAAACTGTCGCAATTACTTTCTTTTTACTACTTACTAGCGATAGACGTTGTAGGGAATATCGTAAACGTAGAAAAGAGATGCCAGGTAAGAATTGCAGCGGACTCTAATAAAGAAAATTAAATAACGTTACACCAGTTGATGTGTAACAGAAAGAGATGCAGACAGGCAGATTTTGAGCACGGTGCCAACATCGGACTTTAAAGAAACTGTACTCCTCATGAAGCATTTCCTAACTTAACAAGGGCGCGTTCAAATCGCAGCAAATGACTACAGTTCCAAGTGGAAACAAGGAAGAAGATACGTCCATCCTCACAGATAATTTATAGCGGACTTTGCCAATATTGATCGTCCTAACTGTAGTGTAGTGTGCACAGGTTTGTATCGTGTCGAAAATGAGTATCTCATTACGGAATTTNTCCTACTTTATTTAATACCTTCTCATTTCTAATCTCCTTATCTCTTTTCACTTTATCTACACTCCTCATTAAGCATTTCCTAACTCAACAAGGGCGTGTTCAAAACGCAGCAAATGACTACAGTCCCAAGTGGAAACAAGAAAGAAGATACGTCCATTCTCACAGATAATTTATAGCGGACTTTGCCAATATTGATCGTCCTAACTGTAGTGTAGTGTGCACAGGTTTGTATCGTGTCGAAAATGAGTATCTCATTACGGAATTTTAAATCAACGCGTTTGCTATCTTTTCACTGTTAGAGGAGCCCCTTTCATAGAACGTGAACCGGAAGCGTGTTACACACTCTGTGACGTTCTGCCATTTCAATTAAATTTCACATGAGCGTGAAATTTGTTTGCAAATGCAATAGAATATTGAACAAACTTACCACCTATTGCTACCATCAACTCTGCCAGTTGGTGATAATAAGCACGTAGGGGTTCCTTGCGCCCTTAGTAATGCAGACAAAGTCACAATTTTTTTATGTTTTATTTTTCCACACATATATTAGTACTTTCATTTAATACTTTAGGAAAATTCTTTTCATATAAATATATAGTCCACTAAATGTATTTTAATTAAAAAGATTTTAAGATCTCGGTTGGTTTAAAAGATTTTTCCAATATCATCATCATGAGGTCGTCAGTCCTAAGACTGGTTGGACACGTACCTCCACTCTTTCCTATCCTCAGCTAAACTTTGCATTTTCCTGAAGCTAGAACAACCCACATCCTTAACTGTTTGCGAACAGTAAACTAATCTAGGTCTACCTCTACCCCTCCTAACTCCTGTTTTTGCCTTTAATATGTCTCTGACTAGACCATGCCTGAGAAGGTGTCCTACCAACCTATCTCGCCTATTTTTTATTGACTTCCATAGAGTCCTCTGTTCTCCTATTCTTTCCAATACCTCTTCATTTCTAACCTTTTCTACCCACGATATCCTCATCATCCGCCTATAACACCACATTTCGAACGCTTCTAACCTTTTCTTTTCCGCCGCTCCCACTGTCCATGTTTCGCACCCGTACAACGCCGTGCTCCAAACATACACCTTTAACAACCTTTTTCGAATTTCTAAATTAACCGTTCGCGAGCATAGAAGTGACTTCTTTTTATTAAAGGCGACACGACCCTGCGCTATCCTCTGCTTTATATCCCTACTACTCCTTCCATCCTGACTTATCTGACTTTCTAGGTATCTAAAATCAGCCACTTCTTCTAATTTTTCGTCTCCTATCTGTACATTCGCTCTTTCCCTACTTTTTCTTCCCTTGCATACCAGTATTTTAGTTTTACTTTTATTTATTTTCATACAGTACTGATCTGTCAGTACCGCTTCCATTTTATTTAAATCTATATTTCCCAATATCTGAAGATAAAACGAGAGGGATGAAGATGGAAATAAAAAAAAAAGTTCTCTCTCGAATATGTTCTCCTGTTCTTTGTTAAAAAAAGAAAGAACCGCCACCACGACATCCTCCAAGGACTTAGTTCTTATCGTCAGTGATGCATGCATACGTGTACATTACATACGTACGTACCTACAACGTCATGAAGTCGTTGAAGAAGGCAAAAACAGAAAGCTCTAGACAATTATAGTTGCTTGCGTGTATGCACGTCTTTGTTTTTATTTTTCTCCTTTGTTGTCTTCCGCCGGCGGAAATGGGTTAATTATCTTTCCAGAAGCACCTACCCCACTGCATCTACTATTTACGTCATCGTCAAGTGTGTAACAGCGTAACACACGAAACGTTTCTTCTTATTTTTTTTTCGTTGGAGAACACGATTTTTTTAAGAGTTCGATGAAAATCATCGAAAAGGAAACGGGAATTCGAATAATGATTGGTACGTGTCTGTTTAATCCGATTCGACGGAAGAATGTTTAACGTCAAAGTTTGTGTGACCGTTCCCTTCTCCCCGATTTTCGTTCCAGTAGACGGGAATATCGCTGTCGACTGGAATATGAAAAGAAAGAGAGAGAGAGAAAGAGCAAAACTACTGAAATTGAAATAATCTACAAACCGTGTTTGAAATCGATCGGTTAGACGAGACAAAATTAGGCACTTATATTGCGAGCAAAATTGTTGCGCATTTTCTTTCTCGAAAATTGCAAACTGCAGGCTTCTTCTTTTGTTTCAACAATTGAATTTTTATGCTATATGAAAGAATAAGCCCGGAAACCTTAAATCTGACGCTATCAATTCTTTAACGAAAATCATAATTTGAATCGTCGTTTTAATGGTCTCGTACAGCATCACATTCAATTCATTCAACCTATCCAATGAAAGAAGAATCGTTAATGTCGGTTCACAATTGGCGAAGAAATCGCTCGAAAAAAAAAAAAGGAATACAGTCGAATTGAGAACCTTTTTTTTGGAAGTGTGTTGAAAATGGGGTGTCAGATCGACGTCTCGTCGCGGTAACCGTCCTCATACTGTAGCAGTGACAAACGTTCGTAATCATCTTTAATTAAACCAATGGAATTTACGCTTTTGTCTTTAAGTTCGTTAGTATTAGGTGGGTGGCACCGTTGAAAAGTGAGCAAATTTATCGTAGCCGCAAAATTCGACGTTGAGTTTTGTTCTCCACTTAGGGGCTCTTACCCCCTTAACAATTGCACTTCAAAACTCGAGCGAAATACATTTCGCTTATTGTTCTTTAATTAAATGGCAATTATCTAATTATCGTGTATGTAATTGTCTATTGTTTGATTTTATGCTATTCAGTGGAAAAAATAATATATCAGGTAAATGATAGGATTTTTAATATCTTTCCACATGTTTATTTAAATAAATGTTTTCCCTCTCTAATATTATAATTTAATTNGGCAATTATCTAATTATCGTGTATGTAATTGTCTATTGTTTGATT